CTAAAACACTATACTAAAACCTAAAAGCAAAACCTAAAATATAAAAAGAAGTATACTAGATAATTCACTAAGCTCTATTAGTACTATCCTAAGCACCGTCCTGCGTAATATTTACGCTATTTCCTTTAGCCGGAGGAGTAATAATAAAACCGTTTTCCCGTAAAATATCTATTATAACCCCTGTAAGCTAGGAGGTAGAGGTGGTGGTCGGCGTACTAGGACCTTAGTTAGAAGCTCCCTTAAGCTCCTCCTCCTTAAAGAACTTCTTATTATTATCGTCATCCATTAGTTTAATTATAAACTTCACGGTTTACTTAAGCTTAGCGAAGAACTGCGCGAAACTAGTTAGTTAGAGTATTAAACTTTAGAAATAAAGCGAAAAACGCACCTTCTGATTATTATCGTTAGAGTCCTTATTAATCTTACGGACTATAACACAGTTAAAAAGAATTTTAACTAAAGAGATAAGGCTAGTAAAACTATAAGTATAGGTTAGCGGTCGTAAAGCTTAATAGCGTATATATCTTCGAGCTAATACGAAATAGAGTACACGATTATAATCGTAAAACGCCTTAGATAGGGGGTAAGAACTTATAGAGGGTGGTATGCATAGTTTCTATCCTTACACTTTTAGTAGCGATAGGAGCGGCCAGGAACGGAAATATAGTAATTAAACGAGCGCTAATTCCCCGAATAAATACCCTTTATATATTCTAGGCAGGGCAGATTAAATAGAACCGGAATAAAATCATCCTCGGTATTCTTATTATTATTATTACTGCCCTTAGCAGTCTTCTAAGGAGTTAGCTTAGAATAGAGTAGAGATATCGTAGACTAATACTCGGAAATAACTTATAGAAGCACCCTTCTTAGTGCCGGCTTTGCCCTTAGTCTTCTTCACACTATTAGCCGAGGCTTTCTTAGCTACCGCGGCACGGGTAACGGCCGAGAGGGTGGGAGGAGCCTAAAACGACGCTACTAGTTAGCACGCGCCACCGAAAACAAAGCTCCGATACTCACTATATCGCTATTATTATTGTTTTTATTACTATTGATGGGAAAATCGGAAAAATTGGTTCAAAAATCGTTAAAAATTCCTCGAAAAAATAACGGCACGAGAGGTTATAAGAGGGAGGATCTAAAAGCTCTAAAACGCCGGCATAATGTCTTTAATTTAGCTACGGAAGGCCCTATTATCACCTATTTACTACTACTATTAATAGCACTTTTCCTTTATTATTTACTACTATTTTTTTATTTTATTTTATAGCTTTTATTCCTGTCTTTTAACTCGATATTAAGGGCATCACACGACCCTTTAAGGCTATTTTAAGGTTAAAAACAAGGCTAGGTTAAGGTTAGGCTGAGTAATCGTTCCGCTAATCACAGCGTAATAATTAGGGGGTGTGTTATATTCTATTATATAAGCCACGGTATAGTGCTCTCCTATTAGTTAGAGGTGCCCTACTATCCTCGCTTAGAAGGTGGCAGATGTATTTAGGACACGTATACCCGCCCCCTTTTTCTTTCTCTTTTATATAATACAATCATATATTTCCTGAATCAACGCTCCCTGTAAGCACGCTCCCGTCAATTCAACAACAACGGCCTCAACGGTCACGACCCACCCCTGAACCAGGTATACAGGTACAACTGACAAGTTACAACATCATCTCAAAGTCGGCATTCGCATTTTCTGTTCTACAGCCCTCCCCACGACCCAGGCGGCGGGGGCTGACTCGCTATACTTGGCTTTTCCAATCCCCTCAACGTCTCTTGCCAGCTCTGCCAGTTGATATCCTCCAAGTCCAGGTTCATGTCCACGTTATCTATTGGTACATCGTCAAAAAGCCCGCCGCCCGTCATCATCTGGTCGCCATCCGACCAGAGCCATGGCGGCGGGTCATTCTTGGCCCCGGGCGCCGTTGTCGGCAGCGGTAGCGGTGGTGGTGGTGGTGGTGGTGGTTGTGGCCGCAGTTGCGGTTGTTGCGATTGTTGTAATTGTTGCCGATGTTGTTGATGAGCTTGGTGCTCTTGTTGATATTGGTGTGTTTGCAGCCCCATGCCATGCACTGGCGGCGGTAACTGCTGCTGTTGTGATCGCCGCGAGAAGGCCGTCTCGACCGTTTCAGTCATAGCCGGGGATGGGACCCCCGAGACATTCATGGAATGCTGTCCACCTAGGGCCGCGGTAGCCGCCACGGAAGGGTAAAGTGCATGACTGGTCGTCGTCGTCGTCGTCCTCGTCGCCGCCGACGTCGTCTGACTGACATACGGCTGTTGCCACATGGCAGACGACGAACCAAATTCCCCTCGAGTTAGCATCGTATTGTCTGAACGCCCCATCTCCGTGGGCTGAGGAGGAGGCGGTGGCGGTGGCGGTGGCGGTGGTACCGCCGACAGCATGGACATGGTTCCGTCGTTGGATTGTGATCGCGACGACACAGCGGCATCTGGGCTCATCCCACCAGCTGACGACTGCGAGGAGCCGCCTCCGCCTCCGCCGCCGCCGCCATGGTTTGGCCGGGCGACGGCCGGCGTCTGATGCGGGATGGGCCCCTGAGGCGGCAACGGGCTGGTGGTTTCAGGCCGCACGACCTTGCGCCATCGGGTACGCAGTTGCGCGACGCTTTCCATGCCCGGCACGGGATCGATCCGCTCAAAAGACGGCGCAAAGCCGTCCTCGCCGTCCAACCGGTACGTCGTGGCCGGGTCGGCCCGGAGGCGCGCGATTTCGGCTTGCCGATGCCTCCTCGCCTTGAGGTACAGCTTCTTGATGGGGATCCAGACGGCCATGTGGTCCGACTCCTTGGCCGAATCCACGGGGTGGTCGTACACGAGGATGCTGGCCGCCTTCCAGGCACGCTCGCACGTCGGCGACCACGGCCGGCGGGACATCTCGATCAGCATGTACGCGATGGCGTTCCACTGGCGGTACGTCTTGAACAGCCAGCGCCACTTCTGGAAGCGCGGGTCCGTGTTGAGGATGTGGTTGTACTCGACGACTTCGATGGTCGAGACGAAAAGCCGGTCGCGGATGTCGGCGGACAGTTCCGGCCCGCTGCCCGGGAAGAGCATGGGCTGGTAGATGACGAGCCCCATCTTGGCCATGACGACGCGCGCCACCATGGCGGCCATCCAGAAGAGGGGGTCGTCGCCGGTCACGCAGTGTTTGAGGAAGTTCTCCTCCACGCGGTCGTACACCTCCATCAGGAGCCGTTCCCGCTCCTCGCGACCGGCAGCCGCGTTGTTGACGTTGACCGGACCCGCTTCGGCCGAAAAGTGGTGGAGGCGCCTCGCCAAGGCGGAAAGCTCGTAGCGGACCACGCTCATGGCGCAATCGGTTCGGCCTTCCCGGGCCTTGGGCGTTTCCGTGGTGGAAGGGCTGATATCCGAGTCGTCGATGTTCAAGGGCAACTTGGTGTCGAAAGACCGAGGTTGGATGATGAGCTCGGTGCCCGACTCCTCGGTCGACCGCAGGTCGAGGGCGCATATGGCCCACCACAGTCGTCGCCTCATCTCCACCTCAAAAGGCGGAAGCCCTAGCTTGAGGCCGTCGCGGTGAAGGCCCAGGCCCTGGGCCATTCGCACGACAAGTGCCGTCAGGGTCCAACAGAAGCGCGTGTCGTCCTGTCGCCTGACGACGATGAGGAAGAGGGTGAAGGCTTGGAGAACGGACATGTCGGAGGTGTTGAGGAAGTTGCCCTTGGCCAGGGCCTGTTCAAGGCCGAATCGGTACCGCGACAGCAGAAGGGCCTTGGAAGACGCCAGGTGGGCTTGCACATCTTCTTCCTCGAGCGAGGTGATGGTCGCGTAGTACACGGAGAAGACGAGGGCTTCGTTGCCGGGGCTGAGGTCAACGGTCTGCTCGACCATGCCCTGGAATAACCTATCCATGGAAGGGACGTGCAAGACTTTGACAAGCGGCTCCACGTTCTCCTGGTATGTCTTCCACATGTAGAGTATCTGGGACGGCGGAGGATGGAACTTGCTCAGGTCGGCTTCGACCGACCGATAAGCGAAGAGGAAGCCCTGATGCTGGCTCGAATGGGAATGGGAACCGAGGGCGGATTCGGGCGAAGGGTCGGGGGTGATTTCGTCTTCGGTGTCGCCCGGGTCGTCGCTAAGGGTGTGCATCTCGGATCGGAGTTCGTCGAGCTATTTTGTGCGAGAAAGATTACCAATGGTCAGTCGACGTGACCGCAGATCTTTGCGCTTGAGAGGGCAGTGGGGGGAGGGGGGCGGTAATTTAGGGGGGCGGTAATTTTAAGGGGGCCTCAGATTTACCTCGTCGTTCAGTTTGGACAGAAATGCGTTGCTAATATAGCGGGCGGTCGTGCCGCCGTCGTGAAGCACCAACCTCCCCAGTTGCTTGTGCATATTCTCCGGTTTCCCGTCAAGATGGCGGCGCAAGTCGGCCTCTGCCTCGGCCTCGGCTTCCGATCCAGACCGATACGTGTGGGCGGCGCGTTGCGAAGCCTTCGGGGCGCCACTTCCCCCCCTGGCGGACGAAGGGGGGGACGTGCTGTTATGGCGAGGATTCGGGGAGGCGGCGGGGCTGGAATTCTTGTCCACGTCAATGTTGATATCGTCCATCACGTCGACGTCGACATGGCCACTGAGACCCTGGACGATGATGGCTTCGAGTTTCCGCAGGCGCTTCTGGAGGGCCATCTCGCGTTCGCTCGAGCCCTTGGGCGGGGCGTTGGGGTCGCGCGGACGAGGTCGTCTCGGGGCACGACCAGGTGCAGGGAATATGCACTGGATATGGGCGCGGCGGCAGTTGGAGCAGGGCATCTGTTTGTCGCATCGCACCTTGCGGCGTCGACAGGTCACGCAGCTGCGAGGGTTCAGGAGAGGGGCGCCGGAGGGAGTGGTTGCGACGGGCTGGTCGGGGGAGATGATGGTGGTGCCCGGCAAGCGGCAGAGAGAGGCGGCATCGAGGGAGGCGGACGGGTCATTGTAGTTGGGAACTGCGCCGGGGTTCCTGTTGATATCTCCGTGGGCATGTGTGATTGTGCCGGGGGGGGTGGTCGGGTGCTGGGCGGGCACTGTCGCGAAGGACATGTGATTTGGCGGTGTTACGTTCTCCATGACGCACAGAGAGGCCGGTGCTGGCGAACCAAAAAAAAAAAAAAAAAAAAAGAAGAAGAAGAAGAAGAAAGGGGGGTTAGGCGCAATGGATCTTGTGAGAGGGGCTCGGTTCACTTCGGTCGTGGCTCTTCGGAGCGAGGAGGCGGCGTTGGTGGTCGACGTTTGTCGTAAGAGAGTAAAAGTAGTAGGTGTAATAGGTGTGTATCTTTGAGGGCACGCTGTTTCCGCTCACTGCACCGTCACGACATGCATCTGGGTCGAAGCGAGGGAAGGATCGAGCCGGCGATATTGAAAAGCGAGAGGGAAAATAATGGTAAAATGGCAAAAGGAAAGGCGAGAAACGACAAAGTCGTGCGGAGTGAAATGATGCACGTGTTGAGATGGCGAAGAATATAACGAGCGAGCGGGAGACGAGAGACGAGAGACGAGAGACGAGGTAGGGTCCAGAAGGTTGGCGGTGGGAAGAAGATGAAGAAGGGAGCTGCGGCTGAGCTGCAGCTGCAGCAGCACACGGGCGGGGCCGACTTGGATGTTTGCTATGGGCTATGGTGATGGCATTGAGAAACGATATACAGAGGTGATGTGGTTGATGATGGGGATAGATCGAATTATTTCAGGGGATCTCAATAGATGAGGTGAGGTAGAATGTAGGGATGTAGGGATGTAGGTTGTAGGACGCAAGAGCAAGTGTAAAAGCACGGGGAAGATGTCGAGGAAAGATGTCGAGGCAGGCAGAATGAGTGAGAGGTAGCAGGACCGATGGAGCAGAGATGGGGGCCGGAGGGGCACAGACCAGGTGGGGGTTACCTTGGGGATGCATGTGCTCTTCCTCTCTCCCACGTACTTTACTTCGTACTTTGTCGATATGTACGAAAGTCTTATCCCGTACCCTGGGTATCTCTTTTCATAAGGTAAGGCACCTTACCTACCGTAGGTACCTTACCCACCGATTTAACATCACTTTCAGAGATACACTTGTGTACCTACGTAGGCACCTTACACTTACATCAAGCCCACATACCTGTAGGTACGTGTACATAAATATGTGATGAATAAGACGGACCTGGACGAATTGCCAGATGCATGCATATACGTCGTTCAACGTCCCCTCCAAACGTCTCTCTTTCTCTCTCCTTTTCTCATCTTCTCTATTAGTTTGTGTTACCTCAAGCTGGTCTAACGGTGCTCATCTGCCACGCTTTGGTTGGAGGGGAGGGGGAAGAGGGGTGTTTGCCAAGAATAACGGGAGCCGGTACACTACACTAGTGGCCGCTACTCCGTATCCGTACTCCGTACTCCATAGTCCGTAAATGCGCGAGAGCTAGTGGAGAGGTTGGTTCGTTCTTAGTACGATTCTATTTCAGGACCAGACTACCTTATGTCTGCGGCAGTGCTGACTGAGACTGAGACCGAGACTGAGAACCTCCGACCTCCGACCTCCGACCCCCGACCTCCGCCTCATGCGCCTCCACTGCTTCAGGGAATCCTACCCACCCATCTCCCAATAATAGCGCCGGCTGTGATCCAGAGCCACGGACCATATCACTCACAGTGTCTCTTCGTTTCTCACTCCCGGAATCGAAAATCACTACCACTCGTTTATATCCTCAAATACACTTGTCCTCATGTCGCTAGACTGCCGGCTTTTCTGTCCTATCCTACGAAAGTCGCGCCGCAGCCGGGCAGAATATTTCCCTGTTTGTTGATCTCATCCAGTAATGCTCCTGTTCCTTTTCCTTTTCCTTTTCCTTTTCCTTTTCCTTTTCCGTATGCCTTTGCCGCCAACCCCCCACAATGCAGCCAGCAAGAATATACGCCGAAACACCGACCTTATTACCGTCTCTGGCAGCCAGAGTCTGGCTGACGGAAACCCTCAAGGCCAGACTTCAGTCGATAGACCTGTACTTGAGGCAAACCTCGGCATAGTCCTCAAAATCCCACATAAAAGCGTCGGCGTTGAATCTATTCTGCAACCCCCGGTCCTTCAAAATGGCCTCGGCAACTTCGACATAGGCCTGCCGAAAAGCCCGAAACAGACGAGGCGTCTGCCTGGGGTGAGGGACGTACAGCTCATTGGCGCCGCTGGCCATGGCGGCCTTGTAGAGCTGGTACACCACGGGCGGGGGGCCGTTCCGGAGAGAAACGCGGTTGCAGCGTCCAAAGTCGACCATGAAGAGGTTGACCTCCCTGCGCTGGAAGTTGGGGTCCTCGTTGGCCCAAGCGGTAGCCCGTCTGGCGGGGCGAGGTGAGCCAGGGGAGGACGAGGGGGAGGACGAGGGGGAGGAGGCGGCAGAAGAAGAAGAAGAAGATGGGAGGATGCGGGTCCCCAGGACAAACTCGACGTCGTTGCCGTCTGCCTCGGCACCCCAGTGCATGATGGCAAAGGCCTTCCCCAGTTGGGCGGCCAGGGCCTTGACGTCCATGCCCAGCTCCTCCATCTCCGGGAGGGTGAGGTGGAAGTTGCGCAGCGAGTGGAAATCGTAAGCCATCCTAGTGCGAGGCGCGTAGCGTCCGAGGTAGGGTCGGACAAGGCAGTGCTTGTTCGGGCCGTGCTCGACTATGAACTTGACGATGTCCGGGTCGACGGGGCCGCCGTCCTCGGCGCGGGGGTGGAAGTGGGAGACCAAGGCGGTCCTGACCCGTTTCGGAAGAGGGAGGATCCTCTCCATCACTACCACGTTGGACCTGCACTGATGCTTTTCCGGAAACAGGTGTTCCAGCTCGTTCCAGAAGTCGGCGTAGTCCTTGGGGACGTAGTAGAAAGGGTAGGGGATGAGAACGTCGCATCGGGCATGGTCCCGATAACGCTTAAAAGCCGCATTTACAGCAATGTGCATGGTAAACTCTTCCTGGAGACAGAACATCCGGCCTTGCTGTTCGGGCTTCTCCTTTTTGACGACCATGCCATCACCAATCATCTCGAAGATGGTGCCTTGTGTTCCTTCGCCAATGACGATGATTTCGGCTTCTCTGTTTGGATCTCTGGCTTGCCGGACGCGGCTGAAATACGATGAATGCGTATATATGACCGACTTGAGGGCAAGGGCTTGCTTAAGAGCCTCGGTGTCGGATAGCGAGGCAAACTCTTGGGCCGCAGAAAGTGGAATGGGGGGGGTGCAGGATGGGGTGGGTGTCGGGGTGTCGGTGGAGGACTCGTTGCTTGAGCTTGGCTCACGTGCGGAAGACATGATTGATGGTGATTTCAGTCATTGGACGGACAAAAGGATAGTGATTGTTTGGATAACGATGATCCACAAAGAGGAGATGAAAAGAACGGCCATCGGTGGATGATGAAGACGGACACGCGCGCTTGGTTGTTGAATAGTTGAAGGACAAGAAGAGAATAGTTGAAGGAATAAAAAGAGAATAGAAAGACGAGAGGGAAAGAGGAAAAGAGGCAGAGAGGGGAGGAGGCAGAGAGGGAAAGAGGAAAAGAGGGAAGGAGGGAAGGAGGGAAGGAGGGAAGGAGGGAAAGGGGGAAGGGGGAAGGGGGAAGGGGGAAGGAGTAACAAAGATGGAAAGAGAGACGAGTAAAGTTCGTAAAGATAGTCTATGGCTCGGTGTGGATATTGTGGAAGCCTGGTTGATATTACTTTTACACGGGCGGTTCTGTATCATCAACCTCTTTTCGCTGTTTAGTTTCGACATGCAGGTAGGTAATAGAACATGTTTCTGTTTATTTTATTTTCCTCCACTGATATCTCCTTCATCTTGGTAGGCTTCTAAAGACTGTCAAGTTGTGGGAAACTTGGACCGGAAATCTGACCATGACAATAATCTTTCCCGTACATGTTGATACTTCAGAGCTTAGAACTCCAGTGGCTTATATACTCGTAGCCACTCAAGCCTCCCATCCAAGATATGTGCGGCGTCACGGCGTTACCCTTGAGCGACGAGAATAAATTATAAGAATACTCCGGCCGCCAAGACTGCGACTGTCGACTGCTCCGAGTCTGATACATACCGCTTTCAGAATCACATAGAGTAGCTATTCCATATAGCGGCCGTCTCCCTTTTCCGTTTTCCCTGTACAGCGTAGCAAAAGTCCAACGCGCAACTCGGTCAAAGAGTCGCGATGGACTGTCGTCTGTACCGGAACGAACCCCACGGTCCCCACCACCCGCAAAGGGCGCTATTCCATCTTTAAACTACCTTGAGGTACCTTAGTTTAAAAGCCAAGGGTTTGGTGCGGTGGCTAAGGTACAGTGAGTGAGCAAAAGTTTCGGAATAACCCTAAAGTAGAATGCTTCGAACCTTTTGGGGAACACTTTTTTTATTAGGGCAAAAACTATATTATGTAGCAAAAGTAACGAATCACTGGATTTTTGAAATGTACCGAAATTATTGCTCACCCACTGTAGGTACCTAATGGGTGTTGCTGGCCTCTGTGAATAACCGTACCTTAGGGAATGGATACAAGTGTTATTCGAGTTGAACCCTACTGTACACAGTATCCTCAGCAGCGCTCGACACAGGGTACGAAGCACCTGACCCGTTTCGGAAATTCTTCTTCGTGCCCCTCCATCACCGACATGGGACTTGACCAAAATATCCTCGAATTATTAGAAAATCAAAAATCCCACTTGGTGAAAAACAGATCACCACCAAAGATAAGAGAGATCTCTGGTACGGCTCAAGTTACATCTCTCCCTTGGCTCGGACCTTGTGGACCCATGCATGCTATGAACCATGCCGTGAGTTTGTCTCTCGGCTTCATCAACCCTCGACCCTCGACCCTCACCCCTCAACCCTCACCCCTCAACTCTCACCCCTTACCCCTTAGCCCCCGCCCCTTGGCCGAACAAACTGACGCACCTCCCCCATAGCCGCCGGATTCAACGTCCGCAGAGAGACTTCCTCAATGCGCCCATCACCGCAGTCGCCTTCTTCACCACCCCCTCCCATGGGCGCCGTCTCCTTCTCGTAGGTGAGCACAGCAACCTCATCGTCTACGACGCCCTCTCCGGCCAGCTCTGCGCCAGACTCCCCGTCTTCGATGCCCAGCCCATCCACGGCATATCTTCCGGTCCTTCCCGAGCGACCGAGACAGGAGACGACCACCACCTCATTTTGGTCTGGGGGAACCGTTCGGTCGCCGTCTTCCCTGCAAGCTTGCTCGACGTTTGTCTTGATGCCGGAGCTAGACCCGGGCCTGGACCGGAATCCAGTGCCGACATACTAGATCCGCCCCCTCAACCGCATCCTCGCATCACCACCACCACCGCCCAGGCCGCCGACTGGGTCCACGACGGCCTCGTCATCCCCGGGGCCAACGGCCGCTGCCTCCTCGCAACCGCCCACAACGAGGTCGTGGAACTCACCTACTCGCCCGCAGACGGCTCCCTCACCTTCGGCCGAGTCGCGTCCCCCGCGCGACCCATCCTGTTCTCCGCCAAGCTAGCATGGACCGCCGCCCACCCTGACGAGGTCCTCGTGGCCGCAGGAACCGTATTCGGCGAAATCGTAGTCTGGACCTGCCGCTTCCCCCTTTCCTCTTCCGACCCCTTGTCCCGCGAGGTGCTCTTCGTCTTCCGAGGCCACCATGGCTCCATCTACGGCGTGGACCTCTCGCCCGAGCTTGACGTCCCTGGCTGCGCCGACCGAAAGATGCGATTGCTCGCCAGCTGCAGTGATGACCGGACAGTCAGGGTGTGGGACGTGTCGTCCGAACAGCCCGACGGCAAACCTGCGCCGGCCCTGGTGCTGGACGCCGCCTTCCACGACGAAGGTTGGGATACGGGGTTTGGAGGTGCCGCTGCCCATCTCGGCGGTGGTCTCGCTTCCGCGCCTGGAAGGGAAATGGCCTCGACCATCGGTCTGGGTCACACTGCGAGGATATGGAAAGTCAAGTTCGCGAGACGGCCTTTCTTTTCCGATTCTCCCCGTGGACGCCGTATGACTCTGCCTGTGTACTCCTTTGGCGAAGATGCCACGGCCATTACCTGGCATTTGGACCTGGATGTCGAGGCGTGGCGGCTGAAGGCGACGAGGAGGAGACGGACGAGGGCTCCTTTTGATATGCCCGCCCAAGACGAGGAGAAGGGCGATGCCCAGACCAAACAACCCCTCGCTACGCTGGTGCAACAGCCAAGTTTCGCCCAACACGACGGGAAGCATATCTGGTCTGCCGCCGTCTCCGAGGTGGACGAAGACACCGCAAACACCTGGGTTGCTACGGGAGGCGCCGACGGCAAGGTGAACCTGATAGCCAGTAGCACCAACATGCCAACAGACCGCCCCACCAATGCAACGTCAAGTCCCTCCCCGTTGCAGCATTTGCCGAAGGAGCTGCTGTCCATCACCATCCAGGAGATCATCGACCGCCTACCGCCCGCGTCCGCGTCTGCGTCCGGCACCGGTCAGGAGGGGTTCAAAGCCCGCCCGTCGAGGGGTAACGAGGTCTTCAAGCAATTCGGCTTCGTTTCAGAAGACGAGATGCTCGTCGTCAGCAATGCCGGTCGAGTGCTGCTTGCATCCTTCGAGGCAGACGCGGCGCCGACCTGGGCCAACGTCTCCCTCTCCGACATCAACCCCGTCCATCTTGCATGTTGCACCGTAATCGAGAGCCCGGCCCGGGGATTCGCCATCCTAGGGACGGCGTCTAAGAAACTCTTTCTGTACCACGACAGGTGTCTCAGGGAGATCGCCTCGCTCTCTGGCCAGGTCACGGATATCTTCTGCCTGGACTCGCCTGACTACCATTTCGATCAGACCAACGGCGGCGGCGACGGCGGGGGAAGCACGAGCGAGCCGACGACAACCGCCGACGTGCTTGTCAGGATGATAGGTGGGCCGGACATCACTCGACTGTTGACCATCCATCTCATCGCAGCCGCTGTCACGTCCGACCTTCTTGTTCCCGGTCAGGAGCCGGGTTATGTCATCACCGCAGCGCGTGTCTTTGGCGACTTGCTGGCCATAGGCTCCCGGCATGGCCACTTGACCCTCTTCAGAAAAAGCCAAGACTGTCTCACCCCCCTCACACAGGCCGAGCGCCGGTCATCCGACGCCGTCACCTCCATCGTCCCGGTTCTCGTGTCGGGGCAGGATGGCCCTTCTGCGCAACAACACTTCCTCACCACCTCCCGCGACGGAAATTATCGCATCTACGAGACCAGCCCGACCTCCAACGGAGGAGGAGGAGGAGGAGTCCACGTGCGGTTACGCCACGAGACGTCCTCCCCCGCCATTGACGTCGTCGAAGGCGCCTGGTTCACAGCCCCCCACAACAAAAGCGGCGTCAGGGAACTCATCCTCTCCGGCTTCCGCAGCCGCTACTTCGTCCTCTGGAACGAGACCCAGCGCCACGAAGCCACCGCCCTCGACTGCGGCGGCAGCCGTCGCCTCTTCACCTACCGGCCCCTCGACCCGCGAGACGCCGCGCGCCTGCGCTTCGTCTACCTCAAAGCCGCGTCGCTTTACATCTACACCCAAGAGGACGCCGGGTACAGGACCGTCAAACGGGGGACGCATGGACGAGAGGTGCGCTGCGTCGCGGCCGCTGGCCGATACGTCGCCACCGGGTCGGAGGACACGTCGATGCGTATCTGGGAGCGAAGCGAAGGCGAAGGCGAAGGCGAACACGAAGACGAAACGGAAACGGAAGCTGGAGGTCTCCGCTGCGTAGCGACAGTCAAGGTACATACCGCAGGACTACAGGCGATCAAATGGCTCCGCGGGGCCCGAGGACAAGACGACGACGACGACGACGACGACGACGGCGCCCTCATCACCTGCTCCGGAAACGAAGAACTCATCGTCTGGCGCATCGGCCAACTTCGAGGCAGCGCCCACCTAGCATTCCCCGGCCCTACAGTGCTGCGGGAGGCCGAGTTCACCGACAAGAGCCCCGACGGCGATCTACGCATCTTGCATCTCGACCTCTCCCCCCTGCCACCCCCGGACTGCGACGACGTCGACGTGGGGGAGAAGGTCGGTGTCGTCGCCGGAACGCTCCGCTTCATCATCACCATGGTCTTCTCCAACTCGACGTTCAAGACGTACCGCTACGCCACGGCCTCCGGGTTCCGGCTCCTGGCCACGGGGCGCTATACCGGCGCGTGCCTCACGCAGGTCCGTCATCTCCGCGTCCTCGGCGAGGCGCGGGGGTTGGAGATACTCACGGCCGCCACGGATGGACACGTCGCCGTGTGGACCGCCTCCTCTGCCCCCGTCGCCGCCGTTGAGGCCTCGGGATCCGATCAAGGAAGAGGAAGAGGAATCGCAGAGTATGTCCCCGCAGTCATCACGCGTGCGCACCAAGGCAGCATCAAGGCTCTCGACGTCGTATCCCCGCCACGACTGGCAGACCCCCGGACCGAGACCGAGAGAGAAAGGTTCATCATCCTCACGGGCGGAGACGACAACGCACTCGGCTTTACCGTTGTATCACGGGACGACACGGACGCGCACCCGGCAACATATGCGGTGGACCTGAGGGCCGGCATGAAAGACGCACACGCGGCATCCGTGAACGGTCTCTCGACCATTGTCCCTTGGGAATCCGATCACGGGAGGGGAGGAGGAGACGGGTCAGTCGTCTTTGCGACGGCGAGTAACGACCAGCGCGTCAAAATCTGGCGGGTGTCCTTGTCGTCCGGGTCGGAGAGGAGACAAGATGCCGCTGCTGCCGCTGCTGCCGCTGCTGCCGCTGCTGCTGCACCACGACGGGGATCAGATAACCTGGACGTTAGGGTTGCGTTACTGGCAGATGAGACCAGCGGTGTCGCGGATCCAGGAGACTTGGAAGTTCCACAAGATCGGAAGGGAGATGGAACCGTCCGGCTTATTGTCGTGGGCGTTGGGATGGAAGGGTGGCGACTAGACGTAACTAGAAAGGGCGAGCCGTTGTTAAGATGTCCTAATGATGGTGAGACGAAATAACGACGAACCGGGCTTAGAGAGAATAGAAATAATAGACACGAAGCAATGTATAGCACTGTTGGCATGTGTATGACCAGCCAAAATATTCCCAACTCCAGTTTGAAGGCCGAGCCTCATGCTCTTTGTAAATGCACGTCGCCAGAAGAATGCAGACAAGTCTGCTCCAGAAAAGTCTGCTCCAGAAAAGTCCGGCGCTATGCAAAGAAAGAAAACAAAAGCCGTCACCCCCCCCCCCCCCCCCCCCCCCCCCCCCCCCCCCCCCCCCCATGCACCCTCAGGTCTCTTGGCCCCTCGTGATGTTCGGCCCAGTCCCCACGCCCGTCACCGTCCGCACCGCCCAATGCAACCAGGTCTCCGTCTCCAGCGCAACCTTGAGCTCATGGGCGCGCACCTCCACATCCTCAACCTGCCGCTCAAACACCCGCACCCCGTCCTCGAGATCACCAACCTTGCCCCCCAGCGCCGTCACCTCGTACTCGAGCCGGGCGACCAGCACCTCGACCTCGCGGACGGCCTCGACCACCCGCTCCCGCTCGGCGGCCACCAGCTCGGCCGAGCCCCGCCGCGCGCGCCGGTACGCCTCGGACAGCTGGTAGTAGAGCGTCTGCAGCGCGTCCTTCTCGCGGCCGTAGTGCGCTTCGAGGTCCTCGACGGAGGAGACCTTGGAGGCCACCCAGGGCGAGATGCCGTCGCGGACCGTGCGGACGGAGCTGTAGAGCGTGCGGGCCAGCTCGGCGACGGCGGCTTGCTGGCGGAACGCGGCGGCGGGGTCGGAGGGCTTGGTGCTTGTGCTTGTGCTTGTGCTTGTGCTTTCTGGGGGGTCTATGCCGGCCATGTCATCGTCCCAGCGTAAGACGGCCTCCACGGCGTCACCGAACGAAAGGCGGCGGGGCCATCGCGCTTCATCAATGGTAGCATCTGGCGGCCTCGACAGGCAGATGATGCTGTGTCTCCGCTGCAAGTAGAGGGCACCGGCGTTTTCGGACCGCTCCGCTTCCAACGGCCCCAGAAGATCGCCGTCCAGGGCTGAACCTGCGACGGATGCCCTTACATCTTGGCCTTCGTCTTCCTCTTCTTTGATAGCTCCATTCACGTGGTGATTCCGCTCGCTCCCGACCGCCGAGGAGCCCGGGCCTGCAGATGATTGCTGGTTGCCCGACTCGGCACCCGCACTCCTGTCCACAAAATCCTGTGATGACCTCGACGGCGGATAGAACTGCCCCTGCTGCTGCTGCTGCTGCTGCTCGCTCTCTTTGCGCATGGCGTTGACATACTCCTCCGGCTTGTTGTGCCAGGTGAAAACCCGATTGACGGCGGTGGGCGACCCGATAGCGGCGGCAGAGCTGGCAAGGGCGGATATACTGGGGTTCGCGTTCGCGTATCCGCTCTCTGCATGTTCGTCCCTACTCGGGCGACTCGAATGACCTCTGCGGCCACCTCCGATTGTATCTTTGATACGGCCCAGGCCGGACCGAGCGTCGCTCACCCGACCGGCCACCGACTTGAAAACGGTTTTCCTGAGGGCGTCCTTTTCCGCCGAGCCGCTCTCGGGCATGGTGACGGCTGAGACGGGCACCTGAGCGGAGGGAAGGGGAGGGGTTTCCTCCTTGGTCCGTTGCGTGTCTTCCTCGACCGGTAAGGACTGCGCACGTTTACTGGGAAAAGCAGCAGCAGCAGCAGCAGCAGCAGCAGGAGTCGCGGCGGCGGCGGCGGCGGAAGCGGTGTCGTCTTTCCGCAAGAGGATGCCGCCCATTTCGGCCGCCTTCTCGCTGGAATCGGGGGCCGCTTTCTTGGGCTTACCGTACCATAGCCATTTCGCCCGCTCGCCAGAAACAAGATCGACAAACTTCACAATGTCGAGGGTCTCAATGTCGGCGATGCCGCCCTTGTCCCGGCCGCCGACCATGCCAATGACCAGCTCGCCCCTTTTGCCGCCAATCTCGGCGACGGTGGACTTGACCGCTTTCTGGACCCCCCAGCCTTCGCCCTTTGCCGGCTTGGCGGTGACGCTGTGAAGCTTGAAGATGGTCTGACGGTCTAGCCTCTTCGTCCTCTCTAGTTTGTGGGCCTTTTGAAATGAGGAAATGCCCCTCTTGGTGGCATCCATGTCGAACACGTCCTTGGCCACCTGTGCTCCGAGGTAGTGGAGGCGGTTCCTCGCTCCCATGAGCATGCCGAGCAAGGCGGCCACGGTGGTGGGGCCGAGGATTCCGTCGGTAGGTTCGACGTTGTAGTATTCGGCGCCAAGCTCGGTCCACCAGTTCCCGATAGCCGTCTCGGTCTTGTCGCAGAGGAGGCCGTCACAGTACAGCGGCTCGAGCTTGCCGAACAGAAACAATGCCAGCTGGCACGACCTCACGAGCTCGAGAACGGATTCGTAGAAAGGCGGTCGATCGCTGACCTTGTAGAGTTGGTAAAACTTGGCTTGGGTGGCCGGAGTGGGGTTCGTGAGGGTCATGCCCGATCGACCAGAGCAACCCAGACGCTTCAGATTCTCGTTGACGATGAAGCTCTGGCGGTGCTTCCGTATATCGCCATCCGGCACGGGGATCACGGTAAGTGCCGATGGGAAGTTGCTGAGGTTGGTCACCATGACCTGCCCTAGGTCCGTCTCCTTGGGTCGCGCATGGTATTGGTGGATGGCGTTGGCATACAGCCGCAGCCTGGGAGACCAGGTTGTCTCGTCGGCCGGGACGGACACCACACCCACAACGACAACGGAATGTCTCTCATCGCCGGTGTAGGTCACGATGACGAGGGTGGGTGACTCTCGAGAGCAGGCCCATTGTTCGACTAGGTACAGCTCGTATCCTCGCAGGACGCTACGTCGCTCGACAACGGTGACGGATCGATCTGCTTTCAGGTATCTGGTAAGTGAATACCACGTCAGTTCTCGCTCTCTTTCTTTATCTCCCCTGTAGCATATAGCTGCGGTCATGGATTCAAGACCCACTCGAAAGCAATGTGATCGGCAACGACCCATCTCTTGTGTGGAACGGAGAGTGGTGTTTGCTGTGCAGCAGCAGCAGCAGCAGCAGGTTCGGTCGAGGGATCTCCGCTCGAGGGGTTGGAACCGTTGGGGGTTTGCTGATGGGAGGTGTCCGAGTCGACTCGAGATGTAGATTTAGGTTGCGAGTTGGTTCGTGCGAGAGACCAGTCCTCTTCCCGATGTGTCCAGGGATCAGGAGTTGGAGTTGGGAAGAATCGAAGGGACATGATGGGAGAAGGGCTCGCTGGTTGCGGCCTCTACCATGGCGACAGGAGCTAGCAATATCCCATTGAAGCGGTGGCGGGCGCCTAAGCCATGTCGTAAACACGTCGAGCTTTTTCGGTTGTTATTACGGAGAGAAGTGGTGAAATGGAGGGAGGTGAAGGGAGATGAAGGGAGATGAAGGGAGATGAAGGGAGATGAAGGGAGATGAAGGGAGATGAATCTAAGAAGAAACAAGATCCGAGAAGGTTGTAAAAGGTAGAGTACGGAGTTACAAAATCTTGGCCCGTGATCGAAGGTGAAGTGGCTTGTAACGTTATGACGTAATCCAGCTCAGGACAGACCGGAGCTTCCAACGATTACCTAATACTGTGTGCTTAATAAGGGACATCCCATCAGATGTACCTCTTCGTACCTGCCTAGGTACCTGTACGCTACCGTTTCCCCACTCATTGTCCGCCCCGCTCTGAACGGTAATTACCTTATTAATGAGGGACGGTAAGTGGCTAAATAAAGCGGTCAAAAGTATCTCCCCACCTAAGGTAAGGTAGGCAGGTACGATGCATTCTATTAGGCCTGCCCCCACTGTATTACCGACTCGCCCGTCTCGAAGCTCTGACGCAGCAACTTAAGAACGATCAATAACCTTAACAAGGTTCTCCGACCACTTTTTGGGCCTTCAACAAGAACGAACGGCATATTCCTCTCCCATGATTATGATCTCTCTGTCATAATTCTATCCCGACAGTTCCTCGACCCCCGAAGCTTCATCGAAAAACCCGTCCAAGCCCACCACTGCCAACATCCACCATGGGTGATCCCAATCCCATGGCCGCCCTGGAGGTGGACATGGCTCGCTTCCGCAGGGCCTCTCTTCACTCGGCAGTCCGGGACGTGGAAGAGGTGCTGGATCTTCTTGTCCAAGCCCGAGAGCAGATCGCAAACGGTACGCATCCCTTCGTTGCATCGAATGTTTGTCGTTGTCTAGGTAGTCATGATCGCGTGCTCACTTTCTACCTTGGCCAGCTCCCGAGTCTCATCGTGCCAGCTTAACGATGACCAAGCTCCAGAACCCCGTCATGGCCGGCTTCGACACCATCAATAATGATCTCAAAGAAGTCTCCAAGGCCCAAAAGGCCTACGGCAGGGCTCTTGACAAGGTATGTGTATGCACTCCCTCGCCCCTACATGATAAGAAGTTAACCAACGTTGCGTTACGCCCGCAGAACTTCCCAGAACACGAACTCCCCACCGAGCACAACAACCTACATGAAAAATGGGGCCTCGTTAATCGCGCTCTCGCCCTGCACCTGCTGCGTGAGGGCCACTTCGAAGCAGCCTCCACCTTCCTCGGCGAGTACGACAACAACCTGCCTCCTCCGGGGCCTCCGACACCGGCGCCACCACCGATTCCGACGCCAGCGTCCAAGCCAGCGTCAGCGTCACCGTCAAATTCGGCGTCGGCGTCAGCGTCAGCGTCAGTGCCAGCGCCAGCGTCAGTGCCAGCGCCAGTGCCAGCGCCAGCGCCAGCGCCAGCGTCAGCTTCAGTATCAGGGTCCACCTCGTCGTCGTCCATCTCCGCCCCCCCACTGCCCCCCACTCTCGGCCTCCACCCAGAGCGGGCGCGAGAGCTAGAAGTACGGTTCAAAGACATGTACAGGATCCAGGGCGAGCTGAAGAGGCGCAACCTCGAGCCCGCCATCCAATGGGCCCGCGCCAACCACGCCGAGCTCGCGTCCCGCGGCTCCCACCTCGAGTACGAGCTCACCAAGCTCCAGTTCATGTGGCTGTATAAGGGCGCCCAGGTGAACGGCCTGCCGGACGACGAGCATAACGGCCGCGTCGGCGCCCTCCGCCACGCCCAGGCCCACTTCCCCGCCTTCCGGGCCACCCACCGCCTGGAGATCCAGCGCCTCATCACCTCCCTCCTCTACGCCTCCAACCTCCCCGCCTCCCCCTACGACGTCCTCCTCGCCCCGGCCCCGCTCTTCGACGAGGTCACCGCCTCCTTCACGCGCGAGTTCTGCGCCCTCGTCAACCTCTCCGCCGAGTCCCCGCTCTACGTCGCCGCCACCGCCGGCGCCATCGCCCTGCCGCGCCTCATCAAGTACCGCGCCTACATGAAGGCCAAGCGCACCGAGTGGACCACCGAGAACGAGCTCGCCTTCGAGACCCCGCTGCCCCGCGCCATGATGTACCACCCCATCTTCGTCTGTCCCGTGTCCAAGGAGCCCATCATGGACCCTAGGAACCCGCCTATGATGCTCGCCTGCGGGCATGTGATCTGCAACGACTCGCTCAATAAAATCCGGAGGAGCACCCGTTACAAGTGTCCCTATTGTCCTGCCGAGGGCCTCGTCTCCGAAACTCTCGTGATTAAGCTTTGAGGGGGTGGAGGAGGATGAGGGAACTCGGACGATGGGGAGATGGGAGATGGACATGTTTTTTCTCCTTTTCTTCCTGCTTTGGGCTTTAGTATTATTATTCTTTCTTCGCGTGTTGTATTTTAAAGATCACGGCGTTTCATGGGTAATTACACGCAGTATGACCAGGGAATGACAGAACACAACATAGGCAGAAGCGGTGGAAATGGTCTTTTTCTTTTCTTTTCTTTCCCATTTTTAAGCCCCCTTCTTCCGCCTTCCCTACCCCAGTATATGTCTGCCCTGGTCTCTCAGGGGCGGCAGGTCTCAACTGTTGGAACCGGATGGTTTGGCAGAGGCCATGTTTCTATAGCAATGGGAGCAAGGCGTCTCGCGAGAGAATAACCACTACACACCAACTACCTTACCCAGTCTTGTCCTAAATTCAAAGGCTTTATTCACACATTTTCGTAAATTCCGTACCGACGAGAATAGTCTGTGATCTCGGGTGAAATGCGGCAAGATGGGCCGCCATCATGTTCTGTACCTATCTGCATAGCAACATCCATCCCCTGAAACGTACAGAGGACATGCAAAGTGCCACTCAATCAGAGGAAGCCGACACATAGACATTCCAGACACGGTTGCTCTATCCTCTCATCGGCTGTCGGAAAGGAGCGTGGAAATAAATATAAAGAAAGATGTCCCTCCCTAACACCGAATGATAAATAACCAGAGCTGATAACACGCAGAACAAGATGAATGGCAGGAAGAAAAGTAAAATAGCAAAGAAAATTATCTCATCAGGCTGATAATGATAGGGGGGATCTCCAATGTCCAATCCAGCCAGTCCAACATGTTTCCTTCTTCGCCAACGCAGAGATATCCACCTTCCCTGCCTGGGCCCCCCTTGCAGTTGTTGGGGGGGGGGGGGGGGGGGGGGGGGGGGGCACAGGGCACTGGGTATGTCTCGTAAATCGTCTCTTTGTTTGTGTTTTGTTTGTCCGGAGGGGAGTTAAAATCCCCAAAGCTCGTTGTTTTTCCACGTCGAAATGAAAGTCTTTTTTGGGTTTCTTTTGTTCTTTTTTTTTCTTTTTTCTTCTCAAAAGTTCATCCCCCATTTAGTCGATAGTCATCCGGCTTGCCATCTGCGGCTTCACATCCTGAAGGCTAACCGAGTTGAGGTCGGCGCTCTTCTCAGGCCCCTTCGGCTTGAGCAGGTGCTGCTTCAGGCCGTTGCCAAAGTTGCGCATGCAGACGACGGCGTTGATGATGGTGAGGATAATCAGCAGGATGGTGACGACGGTGAAAGCCGTCAGCGACCGGCGGACGGCCATGTAGTGCTGGCTGTAGCCGGGCTGGTAGATGCGCACGAGCTTGAAGATGAAGTAGCTCAGGCCGCCGAGGTAAAGGAGAATCGTGGCGACGACGCCCAACTTGTTCTCGCGCTGGGTGAAGTAGGCTGCGGAGACGAGAATGGCGACGGTAATAGGAATGGCGGCCGCCGTGAGGGCGTATTCGACAACCTCGATGTCGCCGACAATGACGAGGAATTGGACCGTGAAGCCGAGGAAGAAGAAGAAGTCGAATTTTAAAAGAGCGATGTACACCTAGATGGGGGGTTGAGGTACTGTTAGTCCCTGCACCTTTCTTTGTGGATTGGAGTCAATAGGTAAAGCGGTCTCGCGCCTGTCCTGACGTACCTGATAATGAAGGAACCGCTTCTTCATCCTGTAGTCGGCCCCAATGGTCTTGAGAATGTCCCAGGCGAAGACTTGGTAGAGCTTCCAAGCGACGAAACCCATGGCAATGGTGCCGGCAGAGAAGATACAAGGGATGGCAACGAGGAAGGGCCTCATGTCGTCCCACATATCTTCACGGCCTCGCACCAGCGCGCCGGCCGCTTCCATTTCCTGCACGGCGATCTGAATCTGCTCGATCTGGATGGCGGCGTAGATCATGATGGCGAGATTGGCGATGCACACGCCGATGATCTGAATGGTGTTCTTCATGCGCAGGGCGTCCCAGACGATGATCAATTCGTACAAAAAGGCAAATATGAAGAGGGTGAGGAAGGTCGGAATGGTCCGCCTTTGCGATTCGGTCTCGGGCCTCTGTTCGTCCGCAAGTGCCGTCTGGAAGATGCCAAACACGTAGCTAGACAGCCATGTTAGAACTTGGACGGCTGGAGAGGAGGGTGGGACAAGCAGAGTGGGAGGTATGGAGGAAGGAAAATAGGGAGAGCACATACGCCTCAAAGGCCATGCAGATGAGGGCCTGGAGAAGGGTGATGAGAAAGAACCACCTGGGCCATTTGGACGACATGAAGGAAAACCAGCTAGATTTGGTGGACGTGGGGCTGGAACCATTCAATGTCGAAGGCGCGAGGCCTTCTCGATAGGCATAACCCTGGTTGGGCATGCTCGGCTGCTGTTGCTGCTGTTCGTACCGAGACGGTCGGGACAAGACGTTCTCGGGCGGAGGAGATGTCGGTTTGTGCGGAAGCGGGAGGGCGGATGGTTGTGGTGCGTATTGCGGTTGTGGTGGGTATTGCGGTTGGGGAGACGGCTGCTGGTGGTAAGACGAGGAAGAATGTGAGTAAGGAGACGGCTGGAACGCTGGGCGAGGATACGCAGGTTGCTGTTGATAGGACTGATCAAATTGAGGCGAGTCGATCTGCTGTTGATAGCCAGCGTAGCTGGGGTCGCTCCCTAGCAGGGAGCGACGGGACTCGACCCTTGAAGCCAGGGCGGCGATATTAGGCGACTCCGGCAAGAGGAGTCGCGACGATGCTGAGAATTATTGATGTAGGGAGCCGCAATGGGCTGTGGTCTATGGCGAGAGGATGTCTTCCAAATGCCAGGAGGGGGATGATGAAGATGATGATGATGATGATGTTGTTGTTGTTGTTCGGATGGAAAACGGGTGATCGCAATTCTCGAGACGACTTGAGTTCAGATGGCTGAACAGGGATAGGGATCCCTATGTTAAAGAAAGAAGCGAGCGTGATAGTATCGACAAAGAGGAGACTGTTACTGTAGATACGACGAGATGAACGCCTGGCCGTTGGTTTGCTTCAACGTCAACACCGTTGTTAGTGGCCGTTGTCGGTTCACGAGATAGCGATGATGAGGGTGTCGGAGGTGGTTGTTGTCAAGAAGCGAGGATGTCGTGAATTGTCCAAAAGGCTGAAACAGACAAGTGTTGGGGGGTGTTGCACCGTCTTTGAGGTGGAACAAGACGAGACCAGTCCAGGGGCAGTGGAGACGGGAACGAGTTGGGGGGTGAGTCCAAGTATTCGTAATGTTCTAGTGCGCCAGAGGCGTTGGATTTTAGTTTTAGGGATTCGTCTCCTTGTGCAACACTGTGTGGTTGGGGACATTGCGGCCAACGGTCCGTGGCATTTGTTATATGTACATCACACGGTATTAATTACACTTTGCTTGTCAGTGTATATCAACCCCAACCAGACCAAGAATAACGGAGCACGCACACAGTGCGTCTAGTACTCCACAGGTGACCTGTTCGGCCAAGGTCGGTTCATGTATACAGTCATACCAGTATTTCTGCACAGTGGTGGCACCTCGGGAACAAATCAGAAGTCTCGGATATCCAACGGCCTCCCCACTGTCTCAAAATATTGATGGTACCTAGGTACTCCATACTGACCATTAAGTACTCCGTGCCTCTTCTCACCAAAATTCTGCAGAGTACGAAACACCCCGTTGCAGAGTTGGAGGCCTGCTACCACGAAGTCAGGTACGTACGTTGTACAGTAAGGTATCACGGGCGTGCCGTCACTGAGCAGCCAGGGAAAAGGCCCATATAAGGATGGCGATACGAGATATGGGATCCGACAATGTTTCTTTTTTGGGCCGGGCTAACGGTCACTAATAAGGGAGGCTGATGCACTTGATTTCAGGGACGGCGGAGCTGTTTCTCGCACTCTGGCTGCGCAGCCCTACGCAAGGCATGGACAAGGGCCTTGCTGTGCAGAACTCTCGTGCAGGCAGAGGAACGTTCAATTTTTTTTAGCCCGCTCCCAACAGTCGACAGGGGGGACAGAAGCCAGCGTGTTTATTGGAGGTTTTATTTCCCCCTTTTTATGCCTTGATTTGCGCTCTTGAACGTGTTGCTCCAGGAACAAGAGCCCTCTCGACCATGCGTTAGGTGCAGGGTGGGTGTTTGTTTCTTGGCTCCCAACTGCCCAATAGGTAGTACGACATGTTCCAAGAATCGAATCGAATCGAATGTTTATATACTTATACAAACTTGGTTCTATCTTTGGCAAACGTAAAAGACGGGTCGACGTTGAGGGCAAACCTGGCTTCGGTACTCCGTACACTAAGTCTCAACGACGTCCTTACGACCTGTGTCAGTTGCCGTTGCAACGTTTTCATCACCTAAACCTCCCAGTGGATGAACGGAGTAAAGTTCTGCGAACGACTGGATAGTGTCGCCGTGCTGTGCTTCGAGCAGTGAAGGGAGCAAGATGGGCTATATAAATCTTATTTTGATTCTGACTGCTGCCAGCATACCGGACTGCGAAGGCTGCGTGTGCACTGATGAGACTGACGTGCCGCCACTGACCGAGTGGCGTGCTTCGTTAATTATTCACTCTATCAAACCAGAACCTCCAGTTGAACTGGCTTGTCATCGAACCAGGTCACGTCTCTGGGTCCATGAACAGTAAAACCATGTATCAGCTCAGCATCGCCCAGCTGAACATCCACGTGGAGTAGAAACTTGAGTTCGTCCCTTGAGGAGAGACCACACTCAGGGTCTATTGTCATACGGTGTTGATACATAGAGCGCCTCCATCGAGATGCTTTCAACTCCAGCCCATGCCATTATTCTCCAGGCAGACATGCTAACATATACCATGCAAAGTCGCCGCCGGCGTCGTCTCCCTTGGCTCCCTCGAGCATCTCGTGAAAAATCATGGTACTAAAACCACCGAAACAAAAAAAAAAACCCATAGTACACGCCCGTTCTACCGGTCTGTCGGGGCGATCAAGTCAAGATAACGCGACACCTTTTGACTTGATCGACCCGACCTGGAAGCTAGAGATAAACCCCGGGGAAGTTTCTCTGTGCTGGTCGCCCCTTAAAACATGGCGCCGCCCTGGGCAGGGCCTCTCTTCTGGCTCTCGGCCTGCATGATGTCGCTGACCTTTTGGTGAGATTCGAAGTACTTTGCCGAGCAGCGATCGAGGCAGACGGACTCGCCCTTGTTGAGTTCGCCCTCGCGGTAGTCGGGGATGCACTTCGTCTGGCACATCTTGGTCATTCTGTCGAGGGGCGTTCGATTCGGGTTAGCGTTTCGGGCGATCAGAGAAAGTAAAATCTATCCTAAAATAGGGCAGAAAATAGGATTATGGAGGGGGAAATCGAAGGACTTCGCGTACCGGTTGTGCATGGAAGCGAGCATGCGCAGCTCCTGCTCGGCCATGGCAACCTTCTCCTCCGAAGACAGCTTCGGGCGCCCGAATCCGAGGAAAGACATGGTTGAATAGCGACGGTACGACGTTGGTGTATGAATCGGTAGAAATGAGTGTCTTCTGAAAGACTATGACGGGTCGCGAGAGACGGACGGATGGACAGAGAGACGGATAGACGGATAGACGGATTGAATTGGTGTTCGCGTTTCGTAGTTTCTGGCGTCTCGATGAGCTACGGGCTGGCCCACGCAACTACCTTAAGATTTCTTCATGATACGTCCCTCTCTCCATGGCTGTCTTATCGCTGGTCCGGGTGTTGATACGGTGTTTAGCCGTGTCCCACTTCTTTTTTGCGTACCTGAAGGTTGGCCTCGAAATTTCGCTCTACGAAACTTCCGCACTATCTAGCAACTGTCGGACTTCCTCGAACTTTGACCTGGCGTTCTCTGTCGGGACATTGTACGCAGCACGAGATGGTGAGTACATGAAAAACATTTCCTTGTATTAATATCTCCCCTAGCGAGTCTCTCTCATGATGATCTGCATGCCTTAGAACCGCTGCGGCTTACACAGCTTGCTGTGCATGATGTATACTCTGCCTTTTTTTCTGATGAACCAAACTCGCTTCCTTTTCTCCTCCACTTGCTTCCGATTTCCCGTCTCGAGGCTTTCAGACTGACAGGACATAGTTGCAATGATCGCAGTCCAATACCTGAGGATATGGCGGCCCTCAATACGGACGATCAGGGCCCCAGTGACTAGGCAATCCTTGCGCTTGCAACAATGTGCCTTCTCGGAGGGCCGCAGGTTCCTCCAAGATGCCGGGTCCGCGTCAAACGGGGACGCCGTAAAGGGAGGAAACGAGGCGGCGGCCCAACGGAAGGAATCGCAGAATGATGATACCGAGTTCAAGAAGATGCGCACGCGCGTACTAGGAGATCCAAGTACCAAGGAGCTCTATAGCGAGTCCCATCCGAGGCTCAAGACCCAGGAAGGGCGCATGTCTATTCCTCAATTCAAGAAACGTTGGCAGCCTCAAAAGACCCCTGATACCTCCAAGCTCGTGACACTCTACGGTATGCAAGCCGCTTGCCTCTTTTTTCCTGCCCTTTTTATTGCTCTCGTGGCAGCCTTGCAAGGGCTCTGATGCTGATTTCTGGGCGTATCCCGAAAAGGCCGTATCCAATCCATCCGCAAGCATGGCAATAAACTCATCTTCCTCACCATCGTCAACGAGGTCGAAACCATCCAGGGCATGATCAACCTCAAGATGGTCCAGCCCATGACTAAAGAGGCCTTCAAACTCTTCGGTCGCTTGATCGAGCGGGGTGATCATATATGTATGCAATGGACTCGTCATCTCGTAGCATCTTGGGAAGAAAGCGAACATTCATGCTAAGCTCAATTTTTTTCTTCTTTTTTCGTTGTACCTAGCCCTCACCGGCAAACCGACTCGCAGCAGCACGGGCGAACTCGTTCTCGAAGCCCGCGTCCTCCCCGAGCTCCTCGCGCCCGCGATGGAACCCATCCCCGAATCCCTGACGGACCCGGAGACCAAATCCCAGAAACGCCACGTCGACATGCTGGTCAACCGGGAGGTGGCCGACACGCTGCGGTTGAAATCGCACATCATGCAGTTCATCCGGGACCAGTTCGTGCGCGACGACTTCCTCGAGGTGCAGACGCCGATCCTCGCCCACCACGCCGGCGGCGCCGTGGCGCGCCCCTTCGTCACGCGGGCCACCGAGTTCCCGGACAAGGAGCTCTCCCTCCGCGTGGCGCCCGAGCTCTGGCTCAAGCGCCTCGTCGTGGGCGGCCTGAACAAGGTCTTCGAAATGGGGCCCTCCTTCCGCAACGAGGGCATCGACGCCACCCACAACCCCGAGTTCACCATGTGCGAGTTCTACAGCGCCTACACCAACCTCGACGACCTCATCCGCATCACCGAGTCCCTCCTGCAGGGGCTCGCCGTCCGCTGCGACGAGCTCATCCGCGACAAGCTGACCTCCCTGCAGCCCATCGACGTGGCCAAATTCGCCGCCCCGTTCCCGCGGGTCGAGTTCATCCCGGCGCTGGAAGACAGCCTCGGCTTCCGCCTCCCCAACCTGTCCGCGCGCGACGCCCTCCCCGAGCTCCTCGCCGTGCTGAAACTGGCGGGCATCCCGCTCCCGGGCGGAGACGAGAACGTCCCCGCCACGCTGGCCAAGCTGCTCGACCGCCTGGCGGCCGTGTACCTCGAGCCGCGGTCGTTCGAGCGCCCCACCCTGATCGCCCACCACCCGGCCTGCATGTCGCCGCTGGCCAAGAGCTTCCTGTGCCCGCGCACGGGCCAGCTCGTGGCGGCGCGGGCTGAGCTGTTTGTTGATGGTCGTGAGCTGGCGAATATGTACGAGGAGGAGAATGATCCTAGTGCCCAGGCTCGGAAGCTGGCGGAGCACCGGGCCATGAGCGCCCGGAGACCTTCGCCGGCTTCTTCCTTTGCCCATGCCGAAAGTGAGGGCGAGGGCGATCGAGCGGGGCGGGATGATGACGCCGACATGGATGCCGCGCCGCTGGACAAGAGCTACATCAAAGCCATGGAGGCTGGTCTACCGCCCACGGGGGGTTGGGGCTGCGGCGTGGAGAGGTTGGTGATGCTCTTCTCCGGGGCGAATAGGATTAGCGACTGTTTGACGTTTGGGACGCTGCGGAATGTGGTGGGGTTGACGTCGGAAGGTCCGGGGCAGGGCGCCGAGCATGATCGAATGGCGGCGCAGGAGGAGGGTACTGGAGGTGATCAGGACGGCGAGAAGTCCGTGTAAGATACCATTGTTTGTTTGTCTTTGTATGATAGATGTCGCAACATGTAACAACGATTCCCCGTGTCTGTACCTTGACCGGAACTACAGCGAGTCTGTGCATTCCTTAGGTATCTTGGCTTATTTTATTGCCTGTCGTTGAAACTGACCAAATCGCAACCAGATCTCGGCAAAACCATGCACCAACCAAATGTCGCAGGGCCAAATCGACACCTGCTTGGTTAGATAGCTAGTCCCAAGAAGACGGAACGGAAACCCAAGGTGGGGGAGGGGGTTTTTTTTTTCTTTTTCTTTTTTCGAACTGAGGGTTGGCAAACACAAAAAGAGAACACGGAGGAGATCAATTCAGGGTCAAGGATTCAGAAGCCATGCCAGGAGAGATATTGACCCTTGATAGGCAATACCGAGTGTCGTTAGGACAGTCGTCTGCACTTGGAACGACGCTTCAACAAGCCACATACTCAGGGAGTAGGCCGATATACCAAAGTCCTGGTTGGATCGGAGGGAAACAGGATGTCCCGGGTATTGCGGGCTTAGCAGTCCAGGATTGACGGATGCAAAGCATGTCTTCCGCCGCTGATTCACGGGTCTTTGGACGAGCTGCCTCTGGCTCAGATTCGATTTCATTGGTGCTTCCCTGGCGCTGCAGATGACAATGCAGCGCCTTATGATACGCAGATGCTCACACCGACATCCAGAATGGGGGTGCGACAGGTCGTCATGTGAGGAGGGCGTTTCCCCGCCCGAGGGACGAAGACGACGAGGGGAAGGAGACGGACGAAATCCATTGATCGACTGAACCAAGATTCGCAAGGATTATGTTGGTCAGAGATAATGAACAGCGTGAGCGAAAGCCGCAAGCGACCTCGGACTCGAAATAAACGAAGAAAAAAAAAAGAAGGAAAAGAATTGTCGACCACAAGACACGACCTGGTCAGGGGTCACACTGTACCACACCGATTAAACACTTCGTAGACGGCCTATTCGTACAAGCAGAAGGCAAACCTATCTCTCATAATGGGATTGGTTGCCGGTTTGCATGGAGCTCTGTCGGTAGGAACATTCGGAAAACCCTGGATTAGAAATCTCAAGACCTGTTGGGTGTAGGGTGAAGGAGTCGTCTGTAGCAAAGAAAAAAAAAAGAAAAAAAAATTGGCATGCCCTGATGTCGTGTGTGTGTACCTAGGTACCTAGGTAATTACCTTACCTTACCTTTTATGCACCAAAGATGCCTACCTCATGTGCATGCGACGCCTGTACCAACTGGATTTTCCAAGTGCCGGTGTTGGTACCGAGGGCGGAGGACAACGGTACGTACCTGTATAGTTGATTAAGCCCGTCCCGTAGGTAGCCTTCGCTCCCCTTTAATACCGCCTGGATACGCTTTGGCCTCGCTGTGTATGGGTGGAATGGAGATGTTCATTTGCTCTGTTTGCCGCCGCCGCTCTGATCACCCCTTGGTCACGCAAGTCATCGTGATCCCGATACGCGTTTCTCATCACCCGCGACGCGTTCACACAAGGGTCTGGGTGCTTGCATGGAGGGAACGGGACGGAAACATCCCAATGAAATACCTTCTACGTACCAAGACATGTCGCAAGGGTCTCGAACCCCTTTCGGGTCCAGGAGCCAAAAAAAAGAAGAAAAAAAAGGGGGGGATCCATCCGGGAAGGGAAAGTTTCGAGACAAATGCCACATTTGACAAGGGGTTCATAATAATAACTCGGAACTGATGACATTCCCGTTTTCCTTTAGTATCGTACAGAGTACGAAGATGAGGGCATTATGGCCAACAGGTGTCCGTGTCTTCATATTCGTAGGCACAACGTATGTGGGTTGAAGGACGGAGTACGGAGTAGTCTCGGTAGTACAAAGGCATGAAGACGAGGTGGGCTTGCTCTCGGACGATCAGATCAGTTGTTGAGATTGAGTGGTTAGGTGGGTCTCGCCAAAGGGGGGGTTCATAGCTGGTCATCGGCGGATTGGTGGCTCGATAGGTAATCTTATGAGAGGGTCCTTTGTGTGTACAAGTACGTTGTATTGGTAGGAGCCGGAGTGTAAGGTAAGGTACATAGGTACCTACCTTAGGTACCTAGGTATCTGAGTTGAGGCCTGCGGAGATTTTATCAAGCTTCAAGTTCTCCACAACGGAACTGCCACAGATTGCGACGTGTCAGGGCCGTCCTCGTCATAAATAGTAATTATAATCAATGCGGCAAAGGGCCAGAAAACCCATGAGTCTTCGAGGCGAACGGTTCAAGGGTCGTCAAATACCTGGATCCATATCCGTAGGTACTCGTTCGTGTACGCATGTGTACTTCGTAAGGATGAGAGAGAAGAGCCCCCCCTGCCCTCGTCTCGCACCCACTCTGGCAGGGGTCTGAAAAGGGGATAGATGTCTTGGCGTCGCCCGGGACATGGACCTGTTGCCAAGGGCAAGGTGGATCTCAATTGATTACCTCTGGGTCAACCCCCGTATCTTTATTTGAATGGTGGTCGGGCGCTAATAATTAACGGTGAAATACTGAGGCCGGTCATTAGAACCGTCAGACCGTCTCGAACGAAACAGTTCTTTTGGTCTAGGTGTGGTTTTGTGTACGCCGTAGTTGTATAAGTTGTGAGGCAAGACTTATCGTGTACGGAGTAAACAATACCGTACGGTACCTTACAACGTAGATTAAAAAAAATTGGTCGATTGTGCCGAGCTACACTGATACATCCACAAAAATAGGTAGGTAGGATCAAACGGCGGTTAGAGTTCTTAGATGTCTGTTACTTGGCCGGGCTACCTAGGTACGAACTTGAGGCCATCGATTCCACGGTGCTACGAATACAGGGAGCACGATGGATATCTGGACACTGAATGTACGAATATTTCATACGAATAGGTGATTAATTATTACAAAGTATGAAGGAATAGAACGCACCTCAAACGGAAAATCTCTTGCTGACCACTCGACCTCCCATGCTGGTCGCGTTCTTGTTCGAGACTCGTCGTCCAGCCTCCGACGATAAGAGTCTGCGGGAAGCTGGCCGGGAGGATGGAGGACCGACGTCCACGGTTGGATATGCATCCTTACTTTCGTAAGATTATTTTAACAAGATTATCGGTAGGTTATCCTTTGGCCTCGGCACTGCAGGCTGCTGGCGAATAATGGAAATAATGGGGAATGGACACAAGGGCTGTTAGTGGGCCCATGGCCCATGGCCCATGAATGGTTCTTGCCTCATCGAGTCACATGGTGTTCTTGATACTGCAACTAGGCCCTAGTGGCAGCCCATTCCTTCCTCACTCCGTGCCCCCGCTGGATATGAAGGTGTGCTCAGCACCTTAGGTCGAGCCAATGACCATTCGAGTTGGTGCACACAGCATAAGATACCGTAAAGGTATATGACGAAGTAGGTAGTCATATTATCAGGAAGAGGCGGCTACCTTATATGTTGTAGGTACGTTGTAAGAGAATACCTTAGGTGCTAGACCGCGAAAGTTGCGCAATGTAGATCGACAACGATCGAATCATCCTTAGACATATTGGGACTACCGTCACTGCGAAGACGGTGAAGTCCAGTCCAGTGAGTGTCCAAGACAGAATACTCGATTGTCACGTGGTTCAGAAACGGGGCCTGCACGAGAACAAGGTTGCATAGGTAAGGAATGGGAAGCATCGGTATTTATTTTGGTCCCTTATTTTAGCCTGTCCAGCAATCACCACTACACCGAATTTCTGCTTTTTCTCTTGTTCCGTTTTGTGCTGACAGCGGCTGGGTACCAAGTACAGAGTACAGTACATACGTGGAACAGGCGGACCACGCAATGTCTGCCGGCGCACGATGACGGTGGCCCACCGACTTTGGTTGTGCTCATGCAACTCGTGGGGAACGCACGCTGCAACCCACACTGCAGATTGTCAAGAAAAGGGTGAAAAGGCAACGTCTATTAAGGTACCTTATTAGGGTATGATCGCTTACCGGTACCTGTACGGCTATATACGAGGCATCTTCGTCGGTAAGGTATATGTTTACCCAGCATCTCTCTGCACTACAAGCACTCCGTACAACCGGACAAAACCAAACAAACATATGTCGAATTATCTGTCGGTTTGCTATTTGCCGTCCTCTCGAGGTATCCTTTGTTCGAATGTGACATGTTCTCTCCATGGCAACCTATGCATGACTGGATGGTAGGGTGACTTAGCCCACCAAAAGCATCACGCGAGGACCTGGAAGGGAGGGTGGCCTGCACAGAGCGTTGGTCGCACATAGATATTAGCAGGCCGACGGCATTCCATTAGCTTCCACCAGAAGCGTTTATACCTAAGGTACATATCTACATATACATACCTACAGACTCTCCAAGAAAACCAAGAATGACTTCTCTCGACTACCTGTAGCCTTCTTAATAGCAGATACGTCTGAAGAGTCCAAAAAGCAGGATTTGCTTTTGCACCCTCTTCAAGTCACATTGGGATGACTGCGAATGGACGCCGAAGATGTTCTGGACACACGCCGTTCGGATGAGTACCCCTCCATTGAATCACTATAAGGGTAGGCAGACGGTCCGTGCCTCGAAGCTATTATTAAGGGTTTCTCAAACAAATTGTTCGTTCCCTATCTACCTAGGTACGTTGTACGAATACCTGGGTGCTCAGATGAAAGGGAGAGGGGTTCGGTGATATGAATATCGATAGCGGTCAGTCCCGTTGCATTTCTTAAACTTGCGTGTTTTGTTTTGGTCTTGCCTCTAATTCTCCTATTGTCGAATGTGAAATTTGGAGATGAGGGAGGGGAGAGCACGTCCGGTCCGAGACATGGACAACCAACCCCTTCTATGTACTTTGTAGAACAGGCGGTACAAAGGGGTTAGCCCCTTCAAAGAAAACCCCCGAGCCGCGAAATAACCCCCACACCCTGATGGTGTACCTACGGAGTTAGGGGACCTTCAGTTTTTATCTTCAATTTTTTCTTCTTCTATCATCTCCATCCGCGTTGTTTTGAATCCCTGCGCTCTGCACTACTACCTATTACTATGTACGGAGCACGACATGCCTTAGGGAGTCCGGCATTGCAGGGTTACGGGACTACGTTGTATAATTTCAGGTAATGCATGAAGCATAGACCAGTTCTGGGTCTGTAGAAAAATAGTTCACAGTTTAGAGCCAGAGCCACAAGGGAAAAGGGAGGATTTTTGTCGGCTCTAGTAGCGCCACTCAAGTTAAAGGAGGGACCCCCGTCCTGCAAAGTTCGTACCTTGTACAACGTACATGGAAGTACATTGTACACTACTGGGCGCTGGCACGCCGTTGATGGACCCACATGCATTTTACCTACGCGAATCACCCTTGGAATCTTTGAACCCCCCCTCCCCCCGGCCGAACCGTGACCATTGCCTTACGACTCTCCTTGGCAGGGCAGCCATCGGACTCATCACAAGGCGTATTGTAGCAATCTCGTACGAAGTCCACCACGCCTTCCGGGGCCAGCACTTGGACACTCCCCCTTTTCTGCTATTCGTATTACGGAATACCTGCCTAGTCTACGACTACCTCACGAGGACAAGAGAGGCAATGGGCAGCACGAGGTAGGGGTCGGAAGCTTGTCCAAGCAGCACACCAGACTTCACTGAGTTGAGGTTCGAACCACGAACCGTAGGCCACAAAGCTGGGACCGCCCCCTTTCAATTATGCGCCAATCAGGAAGCACTCGCTCATAGCCCTGAGGTGTCAAAATGTATTAAAAAAGAGAAGGAAAATGAAGAAGGGGGGTTGAAGAAAGGGGGGGTGAGCCGCAAGACCCGGACAGGGACAGGGACGACAGGGAAACCTAAACCTAAGGCACCGCAACGCAAGGGCAAACAAGGGGAAGGAAGCACCAGAGAGAAACAGCCCACATCTCTCACATCTCTCATCCCGGCAGGGCAACCTTAGTTTCGAGAGAGCTGGGACAAATAAGAAGACCAAGTCCCCCCCAAACGTTGCCGTCTTTTCCTTTTCCTTCTCCTTTCTTCTTCCACAGGTCTATTCTCCATCCACACACACAACACCTAAAGGTATGTACCTCACTGAACATCCTCAAGACAAATACAATCATCTCGCTTCTCTATATGGACCGTTTGTGCTTACTGGTATTCTAGTTGCCCGCAAACTTCTCTTTTTTTCTTCTCTTTTCTTTTTTTAATTGTGATACCCGAGTTTCGACTCAACACATTTAGATACCCCTTTTCGCTTTTTTAATCTTGAGATACCCTGTACTTTCCGTACAAACCCGATATACTTCAAACCGCAAGCATGGCCGAGCAACAGAACCCCGTTCAGGTCCCCGAGACTACCCCCGCCGTCACCGAACCCGTTGTCGAGCTCCCCTCCGAGTCGAAGCCCGCTGAGACCACCGAGGCCGCTCCCGTCACAACTGAGGCCCCCGCCACCACGGAGACGCCTGCCACTGCCACCGATGCCCCCGTTGAGACTCCCGCTGCTCCTGCTGAGGAGATTGCCGCTGTTGCCACTGAGGAGCCCAAAAAGGAGGAGGTCACGCCTGTCGAGGAGGGCACCCTTGAGCACAAGGGCCTCAACTTCCCCATGTGAGTGGATATGGTCCAGATAAATCGTTATGAAACGAATGGGTCTGTTAACACGTCTTCCCAGGAACTTCATCTACTCGAAGCAGTTCTTCTGGTTTGGCTCCGACGCGATCGAGGCTAAGAGCCTCTCGAACTATCGCCGCAATGAGAAGTCAGTTGAGGCCGGCCAGCACAACTCTGCCTGGGCTAGCCACACTGGCAAGGGCCTTCTCTTCTTCGGCGCTGACAAGGCCGTTCCCACTGGTGTGATCAACCTTGTAAGTGTCAGAATTACAAATTCGTCGAGAGAGTCAACTGACATGGCCCCTTCTAGTCTGATGCCAGCGAGCCTGTTGCCGAGGGCGCAGCCAAGTTCCACTTCAACGCCAACGGTCACAAGTACGGTTTCAAGGCCGCCAACACTGCCGAGCGCGACAACTGGGTTGCCCAGCTGAAGGTGAAGATCGCCGAGGCCAAGGAACTCGCCACGTCTGTTCCCGAGTCCGAGACCTACAAGGCCACCCGCGAGAGCTTCAAGCCTGCTGTCCCCGCCAAGAAGGAGGGCGACAAGCCTGTCGAGGCTCCCAAGGAGGAGGCCACTGCTCCTGCCGAGGCCGCTGCCCCTGCCGAGGTGACCTCCGCCACTGACGTGGCTCCGGCCGCCGTTGCCACTGAGACCGAGGCTCCCAAGGAGCCTGCCAAGGAAGAGCCCAAGCGCCGCTCTGCCAGCCGCAAGCGCACCAGCATCTTCGGTAGCTTTCTGGGAAAGAAGGAGGAGAAGAAGGAGGAGAAGCCTGTTGAGGCCGAGACTCCTGCTGCTGAGGCCCCCGCTACCGAGGTCGCTGCCCCTGAGGCTACCTCTGAGGCTGTTGCCGAGCCCGCCGCCGAGGCTCCCGCTGAGAACACCGAGGCTCCTGAGCCCAAGGAGCCTGTTAAGCCCGCTCACATCAAGCGCCACAGCCTTTTCGGTGGTCTGCTCGGAAAAAAGGAGAAGAAGGTTGCTGAGCCTGAGGTTGCTGCTGCTCCTGCCAAGGACGCTGAGCCTGCCCCTGCTGCCGAGTCTGCTCCCGTGATCCCTCCTGTCGAGACCACCACTCCCCTCAGTGTCGACGCCAGCACCCCCGCCACCGTCCCCACCGAGACCACCGAGGTTGCTTCTGCCACTAACGCCGAGGCCAAGAAGGATGCTGTCAAGGCCGAGAAGCGCAAGTCTTCTCTCCCATTCGCCTTTGGCAAGAAGGACAAGTCCCCTGTCACTTCGGATGAGGAGGGCGACAAGGCTGAGAAGACCAGCGCTTTCTCCAAGCTGCGTGCTACGATTAAGGTACGTTGATTTGCAACAATTACAGTGTCTTGACATAGCATCTGGCTGACCAATTTTGTAGGGTCGTGTCAAGTCCCCTGCCCTCGAGAAGGCCGCTGAGAAGGCTGAGAAGACCGAGGAGACCACCGAGTCCAAGGCTGAGGAACCTGCCGTTGAGAAGCCCGCTGAGGAGAAGCCCACTGAGACTGCCGAGGAGGAGGTCAACAAGCCCGAGTCGGCTGCTGCCACTGCTCCTGTCGTCACTGCTGCCGCCTAAAGGGCGAAAGTCGGGACTTCGCTCCAGAAGCTACCGTCCTCTCTGCATGACGACGGCTCCCAAGACGGGTCCCCTTTCGTCTGGTTCTCGCATCTCTTTAGCTCAATCCCTCAACGCCATGTTTCTGGTCGGGAATCCACATGTGCATTTCCACGATACCCCGTCAAGATTGGTTCTCTGATACCCTTTTCCTTTGAATACGCTCTTTCTCACCTTCGCGCTCGCCACGGGATCGGATGGGGAACATGATTCCAGGCATAGTGTTGGCTTCTGGCTTGTCCACTCCTGGTGTCTTGTTCTTCATCTTTCGACTCCACACACACCAGGTCTGGCTTTCTGATTTTTGTGCACTCTCGAGTCTTCGTTTTGTGCTTTGATACCCAGTATACCCGATCGTCTGCACTTTGACGAAAAAAACGACATAAGGAATCATGCCATAAAATTTAAACCCCAAAAAAAACATGACAAAAAAATTGGGAGGTCCCGGTGGAGAACAGTTTATTGCTCTTCATCCCACATGAGTTTGATTGGCCGGCCGCAGGACGGTTTCTGACGATGGGTTTTTCCTGAGCGTCGATGTGAAAGACAGGTCGGGACTCTATTTGTCAAAGCCTCTGGGCGAGGTTTATGGACCTGGGGGACGAGAATGGATTTGATCTGCTTGCTGGCTGCCTGTGCTCGCCACTAGGGCTGGGCGTCGGGTCCAAGCGTTCTACTTAATAATAACTAATAGAAAACTCTTGCGTGTTGTTGGCATATAAATTCGATGCTTTCCCTTACGTCTGTGTGGTCAGTATGGGAACTTATTAGAGTCTTATTTTCTTTTTTGTTCTGTCAGGTGCCCACAGCACGTTACCGAGGTATAACAAACCATATTATGTTAGACGTGTAGGGTACCTTGTTCCTATATATCCACACTTATTTCCCCTTCTTTTTCCTAATAGTTAGACGTCCCCGTGAAGCACCACTAACTTCACTTAGATAAATACACACATAATTCCGCGTAACTTTATTTGTGTTCTGACAGTTTTCCAGCGCTTTATTTTTGTTTGCTCAGTTATTCGTTGGCTTGGTTAGTGGAGTTGGAGTATCTTCTCTTTGCACCACAGGAGCCGTACAGGTGTATTTAGTATACTATGTGACCATTAGGTGTAACAATCCGAATTGGTGTAGTGGTTAACATTTGTCGCTCTCACTCGGTTGTACCGACAGGCCCGGGGTTCGATTCCCCGATTCGGAAAGTTTCTTTTTGCATTTTCTCCGAATGTCTTTTCTGTTTCTTGCTTGCTTTGTGCTGTTTGTTTTGGCTCTTGTTCCCATAACATAACGACAAAATAGGTAAGTACTTGCCGTGGCACTCGACCCAAAGCCATGGTTTATCCATGGTCGTTTTCTTTTCTTTTCTTTTTTTTTCTTGTGTACTTGTTTTGCCCGTATCACACTGCTGCCGATACTACTGACGTCCGTTGGACTTGGACGTACGGACAGATTTCAAAGTCGCGAAGGTTGACGGTAAATTCAGGATATCTTAAGTATATGACCTATCGTGGTACAAACACAAAGGCCTCCCTTTTCGATGCTTCTTAATACAGACAAGGCATTTCCACTTCCACTTCAATTTGTTCCCATGCAGTTGGTTGGGATCGTTGCCTCGCCCCCTAATCAGAAATATGTGCTCATTTGGGTAGTTACGTAAATCCCGCCTTTGAACTTTTCTACCTCCGCTCCCTTCACTTCTGTAGCGGCTGCGACATGCCGCCGTACGTAATGGTCTTGATAACCTGGTACTCCTCCACGCCGTACATGGAGCCCTCGCGGCCGAAACCGCTCTCCTTAACGCCACCAAAGGGAGAGGCCGGGTCTGAGATGAGCCCCGTGTTGACGCCGACCATGCCGACCTCGAGGGCCTCGGCCACGCGCTGGACGCGGTGCACGTCGCGGGAGAAGAAGTAGCCGGCGAGTCCGACGTCGGCCTGGTTGGCGAGGGCGACGACCTCGGCCTCGGAGTCGAAGGGGAAGAGGCCGGCTACGGGGCCGAAGGTCTCCTCGGCGGCGAGGGCCATGGAGGCGGTCATGCCGGAGAGGACGGTGGGCTCGAAGAAGTGGGCGCCGGCGGAGGGGAGGCGGTTGCCGCCGTGGACGAGGGTGGCGCCCTGGTCGAGGGCGTCGCGGACGTGGGCCTCGACCTTGTCGACGGCGCGGGCGTGGATCAGGGGCCCGTGGGTGGCGTCCTTGTCGAAGCCGTTGCCGACGCGGAAGCCGCGGACGGCGTCGGCGAACTTGGCGGCGAAGGCGTCGATGACGGAGCGGTGGACGTAGATGCGGTTGGCGCAGACGCAGGTCTGGCCCGAGGAGCGGAACTTGGAGGCGACGGCGCCGGCGACGGCGGCGTCGAGGTCGGCGTCCTCGAAGACGATGAAGGGGGCGTTGCCGCCCAGCTCGAGGGAGAGCTTCTTCAGAGTGGAGGCCGACTGGTTCATGAGGAGCTTTCCGACGTTGGTGGAGCCGGTGAAGGAGACCTTGCGGACGGTGGGGGACTTGGTCAGGGCTTCGCCGACTTGCGGGGTCTTCTCGTGCGAAGTGGTGAGGACGTTGAAGACGCCGGGGGGGATGCCGGCACGTTGGGAGAGTTCGGCGAGGGCGAGGGCGGTGAAGGGGGTTTCGGAGGGGGCTTTGACGACGACGGTGCAGCCTGTGGCGAGGGCGGGGCCGACTTTGCGGGTGATCATGGCGGCGGGGAAGTTCCAGCTGACGGAGAGTGTGAGTAGAGTGCAGTGCACGTGGGTTTGAGGGAGCGGTTGAAGGGAGTTAGCTCCAAGGGAAAACGGACGTACGGAGTGATGATGCCGCAGACGCCAACAGGCTCCTTCAAGGTGACGATACGGTTGCCCGGGACGGAGGCGGGAATGGTGTTCCCGTAGAGGCGCGGGGCCTCCTCGCTAAACCACTCGAAGAAGTTGGCGGCGTACGTGGCCTCGCCGCGAGCATCGGCCAGGGGTTTTCCATTCTCCCATGTGATGAGGGTGGCGATGTCCTCGGCGTTGAGCATCATGAGGTCGTACCATTTGCGCAGCAGCTTGGACCGCTCCCGGCCGGTCTTGGTGCGAAACTCGGCGAAGGCGGCGGCGGCGGCGGAGATGGCCTTCTCTGTGTCTTGCCGGTCGAAGTCGGGACAGGCGCCGATTATGTCGCCGGTAGCCGGGTCTGAAAGAAGAAGAAGGGGTGGAAGAGTAAGCAAAAGTAAAAAGAGGTGAGCTGACATGACACATGGTCCCATGAAGAGGTTTATGAGGGGGTTGGTTGTTCATTGTGGGAGCTCACCATGGACCTCGAAGGTGTTCCCCAACTGGGCCTTGACCCATTGGCCATTGATGTAGCAGACATTCTGCTTGAGGAGGGTAGGGTCTTTGAGCTGCGGAGGGATTGTCCCATGTTAGTCGAGAGGGAGGACAAAAACAAGAAATCGGAATAGAGATGACAAGGTAAGCAGTTAGGTAGGTTAAAGGCTCACCTTTGGGGCCATGGTCGAGGCAGCTCTTAGAGTGAAGGGGACGAATTGTGGTCTGAAGGGCGGTCTGGTGATGAGTCTACTGGAGAGTTTGAATAAGCTCGATGAGGAGCTTGCGGGTCGAAGGGGTAAAGTGACCATCGTGAGGTTGGGATGCTCCACGAATAGAAGACAAAAGATGGAGTAGGAGGGATTGAAAGTAGAGTATGAATAATAAAATAATAAAATAACAATGATATGAGGGGGCGGTTCGGCAGCGCAGTTCGTGGGGGCGTCAATGGGAGCGCGAAGTTGGGGAAGGAATTGATTGACTTGGAGAGACGTTTGAGTAAATCAGCTATCTTTGTCGAGTAGACCTGCTCCTCGAGAAGGTGGGGGAAAGGATTGTATTAACAGTAGGTATTAGGTATTTTGAACAAGGTGCCGAGGTACAGTGATGGAAGATGGGGAGGCGGTGGATGTGGATGTCAAGGTCGTCGAGTCGAGTTGTGAGAGCTTCAAATGCGAATAAAATGGTACGTGTACATGGGAATTCAGGTGTACTGTGTACCGAGCTAATAAGGTACGGTAGCCCAGGGTCTACTGTACGAACGTTGTAGGGCCCAGGTACCTTCTACTGTAGGTGATCAGGTCCGACGTTGCCTCGGCACACATAACTCATACTACACGTGTAGAGCTGGTGATGACGTGCGGAGAGTGGGGTTTAGTCCAGTCTTTCCGCTCTTTCCGTTGTCGGATCACCAGATTTGTCATGGGTCTTGTCTGTCTGGTCGGTCGCTCTTCCCCTTCTGGTCGTCCGGGGATCGTCTGGTCTCCCCATCCCCCGCATTGCTCCACATAACTAAAGACTCACCGAACACGGGAGCTTGACTTATTTGTACCCCGAACCTGACCGGTACGAGGTCTGGTCCTACGGAGCACGACAGTTTAGTGCAGACTAGAGTGTCCGGTCTTGGTCTTGGGTACAGGCTACAGGCTACAGCATACACTAAACTACCCATAAGGTACGGGGAAGGTACGGGGTGGGGTAGGGACGTTTTGTCATTCTTCGGTCGTTTCAACGTTTCCTTTAGTCTTCGCCTTCGCCTTCGCCTTGGGCCGTTATATCCCCTCCGACCCCCAATTCCCTTCAGCTCCGGCCAAGTGAAGTGCGCTGCAGAGGATGAGACAATGTCCCCTTACCACCGCGACCTTCTCGATCCCATCCCCGCCCTAGTCCTCCGTGTCCGTGAGAACCTCAACTTGATATCCTCATACGTCCCTGATAGACTCGTCGCTGTCTTATACGCTTATTTACCTACCCGGACGACCCTCGAAACGACCCGCAACCTTCTCCTCGCCGCTGCTTCTCTGGCGCCCTCCCCAGAGGGCCCGTACTTAGCTCCGGGTCCTGGTTCCGCCCATGCCGTTTTGGATGCCTTTATGAGCTATTCCATCGAGTTTGTCTTCTGGCCCGACTTTGCTGGTACGTGTTGTGTTGTCTTTATGCCTTCTCAACTTACGCCACCCAGCGGGATGACCCAAGTAAGCTGACGCTGTACCCCCGTCAGGAAATTGCAGCCATCCCAATACATTCTCGGACAACTTGTTACAGAACCTGGGGAATCTCCAGGGGGTAAGGCCATATGTCCGTGTAGGCGGAAACACACAAGACTACGCCCTCTACAACGAATCTCTCTTTACCGCTGTTCATGGGATATACGATTATAACAGGTCCAGAGACTACCCCACCACCGTTCAAATTGGTCCCTCCTTTTTTGAATCGTACAGTACCTTCAACGACACCAAGTTCACCCACGGTTTCAATCTAGCACTCGGCGCCATCCGGCCGGAAGGATGGCAAACCCTCATCGACACCGTACCCCTGGCCTGCCGGGCCATCGGCCAGGACAACCTCGACCGTTGGGAGTACGGCAACGAGCCCGACCTCTACTCCGTCTCCGCACAAGGCCCCGTCCGCCCTCTGACCTGGAATGCCGAGACATACGTCGCCCAATGGTTGAACGGGACGCGTCGCATCCGCGAGGCCCTCGAAGCAGCCTGCCCGGCCATGCTCGACGACAATCTCTACAGCTACGCCGCGCCTTCCAACGGTGGCGTGTACAACCCGCTCCAGGCCGAGGATCAGTGGGCCGCGGGCCTCAACTCGGACGGAAATGTCGGCACCTTCTCTACCCATAACTATATCAGCGGCGCCGAGACTCCCGGCGTCACGCTTCAGGAGACCCTCATGAACCATCACACGACGACCCACTCGGTTGACGCCCATGTCCGCACTTACCGTGATATCGTTCGTCGGTTCGGTGATGTGCCGCCTCATATCCTTGGTGAGCACAACTCGCTTTACCACCAGGGCAAACCTGGGCTGTCCAACTCGTTCGGCGCGGCTTTGTGGGGGGTTGATTTCAACCTGTATGCTGCTTCCGTCGGTATTAAGCGAGTTCATATGCACATGGGCACCGATTACCGCGTACGTTGCCTCTCTCTCTCTTTATTTTTTTATTTTTTCTCCCCTCCCTTTCTTTTCTCCCCTCCCTTTCTTCCCCCCCTACTAAGAAACGTCGGTAGTACACAAGCTGGCAGCCCATCAACACCGAAACCACCGTTGCCGGCACCAAACCCCCCTACTACGGAAACATAGCCGTGGCAGCCATGCTATCTCCCATCCATCCATCCTTAGCAGCATCCGATCTCCCATCCTCCCTCCTCCCGTCCCGCCGCCCCAAGGTCTCAATGGCCCACATCCCCCTCCCCACCCGCCGCGCCGCCGCCTACGCCGCATACCTAGACGACGCCTTCGCGCGCCTCATGGTCATCAACCTGCAAGCCTACAACTCGACCGTCAACGGCACCGGCACCGTGCCGGATCCCGACGCCCCCGAGCGGCCCGTCTTCCGGTACACCTTCGAGGTGCCCCTGCAGCGGGGGGAGGCACGTGTGCAGCGCCTGTACGCGAACGGGAGCGACGCCGTCTCGGGCATCGCGTGGGATGGGTGGAGTTATAACTTGGAACTCGACGAGGGGAGGCCTGTAAGGTTGAGGAACGTCACTGTGGGAGAGAAGCTTCCTGTGAGGGATGGGGTGGTGGAGGTGGATGTCCAGGCGAGTCAGGCTGTCTTGTTGAGTTTTGTGGGGGAGACGTGAGCGACGGGATGGATTAGAAGTGTCTTTCTTGCATGCTTAAAAGGAGAACGGGCGAGTAATTCATTGTACGATTTGATATTTCTTGTAAGGGACGGACTGCGAGGATACCACGTTTGAAATACAGGACATTAATATATAGGGCCATGATATGTATAGTTGCTAACGAACCGCGTTTATAGAGATAAGACGCGCTAAGGAAGCTATGCTATAGTAGTAGGAGGGGAAGAATAAGGACAAGGAGAACGAGGACGACGAGGACGAGGAGGAGAAATCAGGTGCTCCGGGAGTTATAACAAGGCCCCATATATTGATGTCCTGTCATTCGAACGAGCTGTGCTCGCAGCCCGGCCCTTCTGTAATCTCATGTCTGCACAGGCGGCGATGAGAAGATGGTATCGCATTCCATAGATAGCTTGGGACGAGAACTGAGGTACGAGATAGTAGGCGAGGTTTCGTGTACTTGGAAGTTTCCTTCTAAGGAGTAGTGCTGCCGTAGAATACCAATGGATGCAAAGGACAGGCTGCCAGTCGGCCTCATCATTCCCTTCAAGCCCCCCATATCGCCTTGCTGCTCACACTACGTGGCTATAACCCACCGAGACATAGAGAGAGACGTTTGATACAGTATGTCTCGTTGATTTCCTATTGTTGACTAAAACCGAACTCCCCCACGAGACTGACAGAATCATAGTATAAGAAAGAAACGAAAAATAATAACCGTCACTAGAACCGGCCCGCGATTCCCTTCACCGACCTTTACCCATAGTGCTGCCGCAGCGGCAGCTTCCGATCCAACTGAAGGAAGGCCGTCGTCCGCGGCGTGAAAGGCGGTGCCGGGAACCCAGGACTCCGGGGCGGGAAGCCCGGCGACGCAGGGCCCCTAGCACCACCAGGCCCCGCACCACCGGACGCAAAGTTGCTCATCTCCCACCTCTCCTGACCATGCTTGGCGTCGGAGGGGCTGGCATCCGAGTTGGAAGTATCATCGTCGTCGTCGTCCTCACTGCCTTCGCCACCCTTGCGGCTGCGGCTGCGGCGCTGGCCGGGCGGCAGACGGTCGTTTTCGGTGGGCCACATGCCGCGGATGGCGTGGCCAAGGTTGACGACGAGGACGAAGAGCATGAGGACCGAGACGGCGAAGCTGGCGCGGGCGAGGTGGCAGGAGCGGACGGCGTGGTAGCGCCCGCCGGCGGCGTCGCAGGAGCGGTAGATGTACCAGGCCACGGGGGAGGGGTAGAGCGGGTCGGCGTAGTCGCGGCCTATCTGGCCGTAGACGGAGACGGTCCAGATGGCGACGAGGCCGAGGTGGAGCAGGAGGGCGAAGAGAGGGAAGAGGACGTGCATGATGAAGCCGACCATCTTGAGGAGGAGGGCGAAGAGGGAGACGATGGTGATGATGACGTTGAAGTCGGTGATGCTGGAGGGTGTTAGTCTAGTCTTTTCTTTTTTTCTTTCTCCTTTTTTCTCTCTCTCTCTCTTGTTCTCTTCTTATTTTTCCAAGAGGCGAACAACTTACAATTGCGACCAGACCATGGGAATCTCCGGGAGTGGTCGGTAATTCGCATAGGCATAGAGAATCATGCGAGGGTCGGAGTTCCAGCCGTGGTCATAGCCGACCTGCCACAGTGTGGTGCGCCAGGTATTGGGCTGGGCGATGCCGTGGAGGATAAGGAGGGGGATGAGGCAGAGGAGCTCGGCCAGCATGAGAAGCCACATCCAACGCTTGCGCGTGGGCCATGGCCTTTTGAGGATAACGTAGTTCATTTTGAGTTGTCGTTATTCGGGAGCGACGAGAAAACACCGAGTATTGATGCTTGGGCGGGAAAGCGGGATTTGTCGAGTTTTATGGCGAAGGTGGGCGGATGAGAAGGAGACGACTTTGTCTGCTTCGCCGTGTAACCTGCAGCCGACGGTTGTTCTATAATCCTCTCCCTTTCTCCCTTATTCGTTGTAGTCCGCCGAGCTGCTTATCGAGTCTGTTCTTTGTATGACCGTTTTTTGTATGACAGATGACGCGGTCCAGAAAAAGGGCTTTGACCTCGACACTGTGTCCGCGAGAGTCTCAAGAAGTGCTCATTTGAAAACGAGAGTAAAAAGTCGACTAGTTGGTCCTGGTCGATGTATTTTCTCCGTTGTCGGTTCGTTCGTGCTGTTTTTTAGTTGTTGATATCGCCCATCAACAGAGCACCCATCACCTCAAATAAAACAGAAAAAAGGGAACGTCGAGACAGAGAGAGAGAGTAAGAGGGAGTGAATCGGCATGGCCTGGAAGGGCGGCCAAGCAAGTTTAAGGCGGTCCCATCCATTCTCACTGTCACTCTCAAGTCGCCTTCAGTCGCGCCGACTTGGGGGCCATGTTCACGCCGATTATCCCCGGACCAATGATCATACATTTCTGGTCATTTTCCCGCCTTCAAGCCGGATGGGAGTCAGCATTGGTGGAGGAAGCCATGGGAAATGGGGGGTTGGAGTCGGCCTGGGGTTGGTCGGGTTGGTGGTGAAGGGGGAGCTGCAGGTGCCGTGCCGTGAATCCATGCTGTGATGTGCTGTGATGTGCTGCGGTGTGCGTGCCGAGAGACTCTCATATCTGTGGTGAGGGGAGGTCAGGTAGGGATAAGAGAGAACGGGTCAGCCAATAAGAGTGCGGGTTGAGGCTACTGTAAGCGCCCGGGAGAGGGGTAATGGTCCCTGATGACCAATGAGAGGTGCTGTTTACCAGACGCCCATCGGGAGGAGAGGAGACGAAACCTCCCATTGGACGAGCAAAGGCCATCAGAGATACCCGAATGCTGAGAGGTCAATCTACGTACCTTACGGTTACAGAGAGGAGAGCCAATGATGACTAAGGTGTAGGAGGTCACAACTGAGAGGAATACAAGCCAGGAGGCGAAAGAAAAAAAAAAAAAAGAAAAAAAAAAGAGGACTGATATCGTCCTCCGGTTTCAGTGATAAAGTGGGACACTGAGCCATCTTGGACTCGGTCGATTGTGGCTGGGAATGTGGCTGGCTTTGCTGGAGTAACAGTCGAATCCTGGATCTTCTCGGTAATAAAGAGGTTGGAGCCGTAAAGCCTCTGATGCGTTATCTGTACTCTCTCTGTACCCGTGCGTTTTGATGCTATGTGATAGGTATCATAGCTCCCGCTTGATGGCTCTTTGATCCTTTCTCACTCGCCATGTGTCGAGACTCGACTCCTCAGTGGAGGAGGAAACCACAGCGATAGGAATGGAATTATCACCACACTATGCTGTGAAGCTGGGAGACACTTGAACAGTGACGTTGAATCAAAAGCAAAGGCAATAAAAGAAATGGAGAAAACGCGAAAAAAAAAAAAAAAAGAAGAGAGGGAAGGGGGAAATGAAATATAGAAGGAAAGGAAAAGAAAAAGAAATCCAAGGAAAATCAACAACACTCACTACGAAGTAAAAGAGGAAAACGGCCCGTCCCGACTGCCCCGGAAAGCCGGATGACTTCGGTGACTCTCGGTAAGATCGAGAGTGGAATGCAGACAAAGGTGAGAAGATGGACCCGAAATGTGTGTACGTCGTAGATGGTTCGTGCAACGATGGGTTCAAGTTCTATCCGTCTATCCGTAGCTGACGGTTTCCGCATAAAATACTCCGTAACAGGAGTACTCTCTCTGTACACGTACACGTGTAAGGTAAAAATCAAAGGGGCAAGGGCGGATCGTCGATGACAAGCGGAGGGGGGGTCATATGTTGGTCTTGATCCATGCAGGTGCGAGTTTTGGCTGCTTCTGGGCTTTTCTAGCCTTTTCGTGAACCGTGTTTCTTATACTTATTTGCACACTGTGCTCACGGAGCCCTTGATCCGGCTTGGTTTAGCGTCGTCAAGGTCCAAATGTAAGGTATCAGCTTGTAAAGTATGACTTCGTACATAAGGTACTTTTCCGTATACAACGTATACTCTGTACTTCCGAATGATAATCCATCGACATTTTTATTCCCCTTTGCGCCCATAGAGACGGAATGCGGTACCTGGAGCAAACGAACCCAATGGTTTCCTCGTTGATACTCGTCTCTTGTCCTTTTCCCTATACCGAGGAATGGCCAAGAGCTGATGTCAGAGCTTTCGGAGTTTATTCCGTACTGTCAACAAATCACAGTGCTCGAGGAGCGCAGGGAGCTGATTCCGGGCAACTCTTAGGGTTCAGGGACCGCGTCTACGGAGTAGCTAACAGCCGTTAAAGGCAGCACAGAAGCTAGGGTCCAGCTACAGTTATCTCGTTGTAGGTAGGCATCCGGCCTCATAGTCCGTGCGGTATGGCCTAGACCGATGGATCAGCGCAAGTACGAAGTAGGTAGGTAAGGTCCTTAGGTAAGGTAGGTAGTGCGCTTGCCTGGCCCTGGACTTGGGCCTGGACCTGGACCCAGACCTGGACCCGGACGACTCAACAGCGAGTACATACTCCTCAACAGCTTAACCGATCGTGCGTACGGATAATTACCCAGTACATACAAAGTACTTATATTCGCGCAGTTCGTACTTCAGAGACGGAGTACCTATTCGTAGCTGCAAAGTACCAACAAGTACCAACTACCTTACGGAGAATACCTACCTTACAGACATCCATGCCATTCGAGTCGGTCTCTCCTGCCTCCTGTCATCTTCCTCGTTCTTTTCTCGCACTCCTTTCCTTCTTCTGACGCCCGGAATCCTCATCCAATTTTAATCCCTTCTCCTCTCCTCTCTTCTCTTCTCTTCAGCTTTGTTCCACACTACTTCTTACACATTGAAGACATATTTTCCACAACCGTACAACGTTACCGCGATCTCCGACTATCATGTCCTTCTGCTTTCCCGTTGACCAACACAGACGGTGTCGCTAACCTTGGCCTTGCTTGGTCTATCCACTTGGCACTTTGACGAACAGGTAAGGTACCTAAGGTACCTTACGTTATACGGGTTTACGAACACAGGACGGTACGTACTTCGTTTCGTACCTTACTAAGTTACCCCTCGCCCACCATTGATTCACTCTGCCCCCTACTCGGCCACAGGAGGAAAAAGTCGATCGAACACTATAATTCTCGATCATAATCATGATCCCCCTAGGAGCTCTGCCTTCTTTGGCCTCTTGAAACCACACACACCCCTTTCCCTCTCTCTGCCCCTCGCTCAGCACTTCACTTTCCTGAGCTTCCCCAAATCCGCCCCTCCGTAGGCCCATTTATCATTTCTCTCTCCCCCTTCTCCCTTCTCCACTTCCCATCTCCCCAGCCTGCGTGCACGTGCGTGTATGAGCATACACACGTACATACGGCACCTAGGCTTGGGCTGTGATCTAGACCCAGAGCCGCCCACTCTGGACACTGTGTACCAGAACCTGGAGCTAATAATTGAGCTTAAGGTACATTTTATGTCCGATTCAAGAGAGGGCGAACCCGAGAACTGAACGAAAACAAATCGAGATCGAGAAAACGCACGTCTCCTTCACTACTTTCCCTGTCAACCGAGCACACCGCTTTTCTCCATCATACACGGTCACTGTCCAGTTTTGCTGTCCAGGGACCATTGTCAATACCTACAGTAGGTAATCGCGGCATATCGCGCCTCAAAAGGCCCAAGCCCGTGTGCCTCTTGTCCGCACACTTTCCTCCGGTCTTCGCCTCGTGGCCCTGTCCTCGTCCCCCTTCATATCAAACGCTTTGGCAGTGAGGGTCTAGACAACCTGCACCTGTACTCTCCCGCGTCGTTCACCCCATGTGCACCATTGCCCTTACCCTCAGGGCCATCAACCAGAGTAAGCCTACAAGCCTACTCACTCGGTAGCGTATGGTGCCTACTATCGGTACGTATGTTCATATTTGCCAGAGAAAAAACCCCCAGAAAAAAAAAACATCAAGAGGGAGAAGAGAAAGGGGAGTAGAACAGAGGAAACAACGAGTCTTAAAAAAAAAAAGACTAAAAAAAAGACCAAGTGAAGAAGAGGTGGGATTTGGGAACACGAGTCAATATGGAGTTGGGGGGCCCTTTTCCATTTTTTCCCCTTTTTATTTCCGTGTTCCCTTGCTCACTCTTCTCGACTCCGGATTAATATGCTAATCGGTCCCAAAGCCTAGCCTGGTTTTAACTCGTCTGGCGGCTAGACAGGCTCGCCCTCAACCTTGCCTTGTACGCATTCATGCCCGTAGGCGACGATCACCGCCATTCTCTATCGCCTGACCAAATCGTTGCTCTCGCAACTGCCTCGTCCATCGCTACAGCTACCACAGCCACCAGAGCTATCACCGCCACTACCACTACTACTACCACTACTACCACTACTACTACTACTACTACTACTACTAGTGCTACCAAGGTTACGACCACCACAGCTCCTACGGCTGCTGCATGCTCGACTGCCCCGTGTGGAATCACCGTCTTCGAAAAGGCCTCCTTTCCATCGCCTTCCGAAGCTTTTACCGCCTCCCGACCCCCCGGTCGTCAGGGTCCCAAGTCCTTTCGCCTTCACCCTACTGTCCTCGGCACCTCTCCCCATTCTCTCCACGCTCCTCGTGCCACATCTTTGCTCAGTCGATCACACTCATTGAAAGGCAAAGAACGGGTAGCCTCCACTAGTCGTTATGGTCTCTCACGATCCTCAGTACCTCCCCACCATTCTTCGGCATTGACCTCGTCGTCCGTAATCGACAACAACAACAACAACAACAACAACAACAACAACAACAACAACAGCAACACCCAGTGTACCTCGAGCCCAATCACTATACCGACCTCCTCACCTACAGCCACTACGTTTGGCTCTTCCGCCTCCTCGCCTCTTTCCTCGTCTTCCTCCGTCTTCTCCTCCCCTCTCTCCCCCTCCCCGCTCTCGCCCCCCTTGTCCCCCTACTCTTCTCGCTGGAGAAGATCTTTACTGCCGATCAATACATCCGGACAGGGGAAGCGACGTTCTAATCAAGAGACACATACGACCGACACCGGTGTATCACCTTCGCCATCAAAGAAACCACGAACAAAGAAACCACGAACTATCGGCAGTTTGATCTCGTTTAGAGATATCGACCGGAGTGGCTTGTCGGAACGACCATTAATGGAGGCCACCGCGCCTTCCCCGGCCGAAGACTCGACTTCGCCCCGTACATTCTCTAACACCGCGGATCCCATGTCGAGCCGTCGCCCTACCTCGATGACTTCGGACGATGCCGCCGGTCTGTTAGCTCGCCTGCAAGACGATACCGACGGCTTTCGTGTTGTCAAACTCCCCCGCGGCAATGTGGCCTCGGCGAGCCCGGCCCCGTCCGGCAGCGGCTCGACCGCAAGTGGCAGCTGGTCGTCTTTCGAGCCCGCCTTTGCCACTTCGGTCCGCACCTCTCAAATGCAGAACCAGCCCGTCGAACCACATACGTTCCAGGCCATTCAGGCCCACGAGTTCTTGGATCAGGACGAGCGCCCTTCCTTCGTCGTCGACCTGGCCAACCCGAACAACGCCAATAGTCGGTCCGCCATGTATATGAACCCGGCCCTCAGAGCCTCTGACGCCAAACTCTGCGTCATATTGTCTGCCGCCGGAGAACAAACTGCCAATAGTGACCCGGATTTTGCTGCATTCAGGGCCTGGTTCTCGAGGCCCGCCGCCCCCGCCAAGACGCCGTTACCATCCCATCAATACGACGGGAGACGGTGGTCCTGCTCCACGCTTCGCAATCGGTATCGCGTCGTCTACTACAGTACCGACTCGGCGCCTTCCTCCACTGCATCGGTTGGTCTCCCAATGCCGGAGGTCGACGTCGAAGTGCTGGAGCAACAGAGCCGTAGCACAACTCCTTCGCGCAGCCGTTCCGATCCCCTCGCCAACGGCGAAGTTGACGAGCTTGATGCCGTCGAGACGCCGCCGCACGACTCCATGGCGGTCAGCCCGCTCGAGGATACCATCATGATGGACAGCATCGGCAGACATCACTCGGACGAGTTCACCAACCAGGTTATCCAAGCCGCCTTGGTGAGGCCGTCCTTTGACTGGACCCGCATAGCCCTGACGCCGGATATCGACGAGCACATTCAGTTCGCGCGAAGCATCGACTGGGGCTCGACCACGCTGGGCCCCATCGAGAGTTGGGGCGCCGACCTGCGGGCCATGGCGAACCTGATCATGGGCAGCCCGCACCCAGCGGCCGTGTACTGGGGCGTGGAGAACGTGGCGATCTACAACCAGGCCTACATCGACCTGGCGGGCCAGAAGCACCCCGCCCTGATGGGCCAGCGCTATCAAGACGGGTGGGTCGAGATCTGGGAAGACATTGCCCCGACCATGCAGAGCGCCTGGGAATCGGGCCAATCCACCATGAAGAACGACCACCAGCTCTTCATCAACCGCCACGGCTTTCTCGAGGAGACCTTCTTCTCCTGGTCCATCGTACCGCTCGTGGGGAGCGACGGCCAGGTCGTGGGCGTGTACAACCCGGCCTTCGAAAACACGCGACGCAAGGTGAACGAGCGGCGCATGTTCACCCTCCGCGAAGTGGGCGAGAAAACGGCGACGGCCCGGGATGCCAGGAGTTTCTGGCCCCGTGTCAAGGACGGCCTAGAGTTCAACGATCTCGACGTGCCCTTTGCCCTCATCTATTCGGTGCGAGAGGACTACGACAGCGATTCCTGCTCGATGCATTCCGGCAGCGCCGCCCACCCGCCTCGGGTCCAGTTAGAGGGTTCCATCGGCGTGGACCCCGATCACCACGCCTCCGTTCACAGCCTCGATCTCCGCTCTTCCCAAGAAGGGTTTGCTCCCTACTTGCGACAGGCCATGGCGGCGCCTTCGTCCCCATTGGTCCTCTCCGCAGATGCGGGCACGCTGCCCCATGAATTACTGGAGGGCATGAGTTGGAGGGGCTTCGGGGACCCGCCCCGGACGGTGGTCGTGCTCCCCGTTTATCCCACGACGGCCAAGGAAGCGGTCGTCGGCTTCATCATCATGGGCACGAACCCTCGCCGGCCGTACGACGACGACTACAAGCTATTTACCGAACTGTTGTCACGGCAGCTGGCGACGTCGCTGGCTTCGGTCGTGCTGTTCGAGGACGAGATCAAGCGGAACCAGCGCGAGGCCAAGCTCGCGGCGCTGGACCGAGAAGAACTGCGGACCGAGCTCGTGTTGAGGACGCAGGAAGCGGTCGAGAGCGAGTACAAGTTCACGCGCATGGCGGCGTTCGCGCCGGTGGGCATGTTCATCGCGAACAGCACGGGCGGCATCAATTTCGCCAACGATACGTGGTGGCAGATCTCGCGCCACCCGCGCGGCGAGGATAGCGCGAACACGTGGATGGAAAGCGTTCGGGGCGAGGACCGGCCCGGGGTCGAGACGGTGTGGCAGAAGCTCCTCCGGGAGAAAGCGGCCATCACGCACGAGTTCCGGTTCAAGTGCAGCCGGCAGAACGGAGACCACACCATCGACACGTGGGTCCTTTTGAGCGCGTATCCGGAGAAGGACGAGGATGGCAACCTCAAGAGCATTTTTGGTTGCATCACCGACATCTCGTCGCAGAAGTGGGCCGAGGCGTTCCAGATGCAGCGGAGAGAGGAGGCGGTGGAGCTGAAGCGGCAGCAGGAGAACTTCATCGACATGACGAGCCACGAGATGCGCAACCCGCTGAGCGCCATCCTCCAGTGCGCCGACGAGATTGTCAACACCGTGTCGGAACACCGATCCGAGGTGGAAGACGGACTCCGGGACGTCCTCGACCGGTGCTTCGAGGCCGCCAACACGATCAACCTCTGCGCCAGCCATCAGCACCGCATCGTCGATGACATCCTCACGTTGTCCAAGCTCGATTCGCAGCTGCTGCGGGTCACGCCGGATGCCGCCCGTCCGATTTCCATTGCGCAGACGGTTCTCAAGATGTTCCGGGCCGAGGCGGAAGCGCACGACATCGAGCTCAACTTTGACGTCAGGGCGTCGTACACGGACTACGGGATCGACTGGGTCAAGCTCGACTCGTCCCGGCTGCAGCAGGTGCTCATCAACCTGATGACCAACGCCATCAAGTTCACGCAGGACCGCGAGACGCGCAAGATCTGTCTGACGCTGAGCGCATCTCGGGACCTCTCCGAAGTTGTCGACCACGAGCCCCAGTACTTCCCCAGCCGGAGGGAGGACTCGCAAGAGGTGATCAACGACAAGGACTGGGGCACGGGCGAGGAGATCAACCTGCACTTCTCGGTGCAGGACACGGGCACGGGGCTCCGCGAGGACGAGAAGAAGCTGCTGTTCCAGCGATTCTCGCAAGCGTCGCCGCGGACGCACGTCAAGTATGGCGGGTCGGGCCTCGGGCTGTTCATCTCGCGCATGTTGACGGAGCTGCAAGGCGGGCAAATCGGGGTCGTCTCGGAGAAGGGAATCGGCAGCACGTTTTCGTTTTACATCAAATGCCGTAGGACGGAGGCGCCGCCTGGGGAACCGGGCAGCAGCGGCAGCAGCCATACGCCTTTTAGTGCCGGTCGCACGCCGCGGTCCGGTACGGTTTCGGTCTCTTCGACGCCTCCGCCGGCTACGGGGACGGCGCGGCGGTCGCCTCCTCCTCCTCCTGCTCCTGCTCCTCCTTCTCCTCCGCCTCCGCCTCCGCCTCGGCGCAAGTGGGTCGAGCCGCCTCGCGGTAAGGGACACGACGTGCTGATTGTGGAGGACAACGTGGTGAACCAAAAGGTGCTGCAGAGGCAGCTTAAGAACTGCGGGAACAACACGCACGTGGCCAACCACGGAGGCGAGGCGCTGGAGGCGCTGAAGCGGTCTTGTTACTGGATCGGCAATGAAGAGGAGGGATATCACCTCAGCGTGATCCTGATGGATCTCGAGATGCCGGTGATGGACGGCATGACGTGCGCGAGACGGATCCGCGAGTTGCAGCAGGAGGGAACGCTCGTGAGGCACATTCCCATCATTGCTGTCACGGCCTATGCTCGGCCTGAGCGGGTCGCGAGTGCCAAGGCCGCCGGCATTGTAAGTTGGCCTCCAGGTCGTCCCCCCCCCTTTGTTTTTTCTTTTCTTTTTCTACTCCTTTCCTCCTCCCCTTCCCCCCTTGCGTAATACGAAGTAACTGACATTTGCATCGACAGGATGATGTGATCTCGAAACCCTTCCGAATTCCTGACCTGACGGCGAAAATCGACGAACTGACTGCGAAATACAAAGACTTGTCGGCAGAGGACAAGAATTTAAGGTTAAACTCATGATGATGGGGTTTTTTTTTGAGAAGGTCACCGTCCAGGCAGTTGGAGCTCTGCCTGGGATATCGAGTGAACCGTTGGATTCTGCATCTGATAATAGCATGGAGTTTACGGAGTTAAACTACCCAAATCAGTTTTCCCCATTTCCACATCGAGGCCTTGGAAGTGCAGAGATTATCCTCCATAGTCAGGGATAATGTTTAGGACTGGGTGATGACCGGCACGGCGTTAGTGGACTCAGGAGAAGGATGGTACAAAAAAAGAGAAAAGACAAGACATTGGGCGGGTGGGAATTTTATATAGGGGGTTTCTTTTTTTTTTTTTTGATCCTTTCCGTTTGGTTGAAAGGGGTCGGGTATAGTATGCTGGGATGATGGAATGCCTTGTAATGTCCCATTTATGGTGTTTTGTATATTTGGATGTTAGAATGCACGAGCTGGAAGGGAGTCGGACGGGAGGATGGGAGGACGGGAATAGTGATGCTGGGCAGATTCATATGGCCCGGAAGAAGAAACTTGATACCCGGAAGAGGTAGATAAATTCAATGCCCTGTAGACAGGGGAAAGAGGGGTTTGAAGTTTGTAATTATAACTTAATTCATAGTGTAAGATCCTAGAGGTGATTAGTTGTGATAGAGTGTATCGCGGTTATTCACGGGAGATATTCTCTTATATCTATCGTACGATATATTAATTCGATAATTAACTAGCAGCTTTAAGAAGCTTCTATAGGCGTGTAGAATACGAAGACTAAGCTAAAAACTCCAAAGGAAAAATTAGAACCTTTATATAGACTTGCTTGAACGTTAATAAGGGAAGACGTAAGGGGTGGGAGGACTCCGAAAAGACAGGGATACAGGCGAAAATAATACGAAAAAGGAAGAAAAATGGAAACAATTGCCCTAAATGCAAATCCCCCATAATCCGATACCGCCACCAATGCGGCGTTTTGTAACGGACTAACGAAGCAATGCACTACTAGAGGCATGCACGTGACCTAGCTCGGAGGAATTTCTTCTCCATTGACCGAGCTCCTTCCAATAATTCCGTCGTCAAGACAATACCTAACATACCACACCGGGCAGACCTCCCGTCGGAACTACCACCATGCATCCGGCAATTAGGTCGCTCGCCGGCCGGACGAGGCTCGAAGCCCAAAGGGCGAGCCAAACCCTCAACAGCTGCACCATCCGCCCCTTCTCCACGACGCACCTCGCCCAAGCCGACCAGGCCGACGACGGCGGCAGCAGCAGCAACAGCAACAACAGCAGCAGCAGCAGACCAGCCGGCAGCGCCCGAGAGCGGTCCGTCGCCGCGGCCAACAAGATCAGCAGCCTCCTCAGACAGAAATCCGGCGGCGGTGGCAGCGGCAGCGACGGCCGTGCGTCCAACAACTCTTCTTCTTCTTCGCCTTCTTCGCCTTCCTTCAAGAATGCCGCGCCCAACGTGATCGGGCTCAAGAGCGTCCCGCGTGGCCTGGGGACGGGTGCGCGCGGTGGGTTTGCCGGTCGTGGTCGTGGCGGCGGGCCCGGACGCACATCTGCACGCTCCTCGGACGCAAGAGGGGGTCTAGACACAGGAGGACGCGGTCTGGACAACAACATCGGCAACCGGGACAAGGGCGGACCGTCGTTCGCCCGGGCGCCTGCGGGATTCGGTCGCGATAGAATGAGGTCGCCCGGCGGACGGGGCGGGTCCTCCTCCTCCTCCTTCTCCGGAGGCCGCGGACGCGGCGGAGGAAGAGGAGGAGGCAGGGGAGGCGGCGGTCGAGGTGGCGGGCGCCGCGACTTCGGCAAGAAGCAGAACAACGACGAGCTCAACGCCGACGCGACGACCATGCAGGGTATCGCGGAGGAGTATACACGGTTCCTGTTCCCCGAGACCCCGCAGGAACGCCAGTACGTGTTGGACCGCGACCACGGCGCGCGGCTCACGTACAACCCCAGCCTGACGGCCGAGTCGCTGGTCGGGTACGGCCCGGCGGTGGCGGCGGCGAATCCGCGCGCGCGGGAGGAGACGGTGCTGGAGAACCTGCGCGTGTTGGCGGGCGGGGCGCCGTTCTCGACGCAGCCGTCGTCGCTGGCAAGGCACTCGGTGGAGGAAATCTTGTACTCGCGCAAGGGGATGCGGTTTTTTGGTGATATTGCGGAGACGGAGCACGTTACTGCGTGGGCGGCTGGGGAGGAAGGGGCCAAGTTTGTGGAGGAGAAGCAGGCGGAGAAGAAGTACCGGAAGCGGACGGCGCCAGATGTCACGGCGTTGAAGGGTGCGGAGGAGGTGGTGCGCGAGGCGATCGTCAAGCGGGCTATCGTGGGGGAGCATGAGACGCCGGTGTTTGCACCGCCGGGGGATGCAGTTGCCGTTGCGAGGAACTACCATCTCCGGGAGGGGACGCATGGGATGAAGGACTTGGAGAGCTTTGAGGCCAAGTTGAAGACGTTGGTTGCGGCTCCGAAGGCGCGTGGTGGGAAGACTGCGAGGGCTTAGGGAAAGAGGTTTGACGATGGTTCACCGAATGCTGTTGTATAAACGAGACACGGAGGGCAAGTGTCTTTTGTACCATTGTAGAATATAGTCTGTCTGTATGGGGAAAAACACAAATTTCTTTTCTTTTTGTTCTCTTCTTGTTTATTTCCCGGAGAAATCTCCCACTCTTTTCAGTGATTGTGTGTAGTATACAACATTATACAACATAAATACTACCAAGTCTCGATGAGAAGAAGAAAAAAGACTACTTCAACCTCGCCAAAGTCTCCTTCTCCAACGTATCAATCCCCCCCAAAACCTTGGTCTGCACCTTGAGCACCTCGGCATCCGCGCGGCGCTTCAAGTCCGGCACGACCTCCTTCTGCACGAGCCACTTGGCGTGGACCTTCCTCCTCTTCTCGGTGGCCTGGCGCACGCGGTCGCGCCAGATGTGGGTGAGGGCGTGAGCGCGGGCGGCGAGGTCCTCGCGGCGCTCGGGCTCGACGGTGAGGGTCAGCTCGAGGTCGTTGTCGGGCGAGCGCTGCGGCTGCTGGTTGAAGTCGGGCGAGGCCTGGACGGCGTCGACGATGGGTCTCACGTGGGCCTTGTCGTGCACGAGGAGCGAGACGATGCGGCCCTGGCGCGGCACGACTTGGGCCAGCTCGCGGAGCGGGTAGCGCTGACCCGGGTCGTGTTTGGGGTCAGGGGTCACGGGGAGGGCGCCGATGACGTCGGGGTTGAAGCGGCCGCCCGTGGAGAGCTTCTTGAGGGCGTCGCGGTAGTGGGCGTCCAGGGCGGACCAGCGGGTGGTGAGGTCGGTGAGGTCTAGGAGGTCGGCGGGGTTGGGTTTGGGGTGTTTGGCGTCTTCGGCCGGGTCGTCGTGGTGGGTGACCGAGTTGGGGTTGTGGGCTTCTTGCTCGGCCATCTTCTTGGCTTTGAGTTTCTTTTGGAGGGAGGGGGAGGTACGGAATGGTCGGGAGGGGGTTAGGGCCGTCGTTGCTGGTGATGATGGTGCTCGTCGAGGCCTGCTCGAGAGGAGCAGGGCGGGAGAGGAGGACGCTGCTTGAGCTACATATCGGCTGGGATGAGGGTTAATGAGGGATTGTTATACAAGATCAGGTTTGGCTTACCGAGTAGCAGCTTCAACGAGGCCATTGGCCCGGGGGAAGGTCAATCTGGCGGCGCGAATGGTGGTCATGTTGGTTTATGGTGGTTGTAGGGATCGATGGATGAGTTCAGTGGTGGGTCGAACATAAGAATGGGAGAGAGTACTTGTAGGAAGTATCTTGAACGATTCTGCTTGGCAGCCGATGGGCAGCTGGCACACGCTCTGTGATTACATAATTAAATCAACATACGGGGCACCTTACCTGATACGACGTAGACAGAGGTACTGTTAGGGACTCAAGGCCAGTGGTTTCTTCTCAAATAGATTGAACCAGTTGAACAAGGTCGAATGTAAGGATAAAATGGGAAAGAGAAGAAACATAACGAAAAAAAAAGAAGAAAAAAAGAATGAAGTATGCCACAAACGACAAAAATACAGGTTTTGTCTGCATCAGGGATTGAACCTGAGACCTTTTGTGTGCTACACATCAAATGTAAGACAAACGTGATAACCACTACACCATGCAGACAAGAACGCTATCTAGCTCGAGTTCTTGGCCTATGTCGCTAGCACGGGAGAGGGCAGGGACTAGTTGTACGTGTACACCCTACGGATAAACGGTAATACCGGTAATAAGGTACGCTAAATTAAGGTGCTTCCTATCGCGATAAGTCAAAGCTAAGGTACAGACAGGAGGTACAACGTACACGCGCCCAACATAGGTACCTAACTTAAGGTACTCTTCTCCATACACTCAGTACCTTACGTAAACCTTCTCTTATTTTCCTCCCATCACAGAATTGAACGTCATTTCTTCCATTGTCTCCATTCCCTCTCCCACTTCATCCTATCGACCAAGGTCCAACTAACACAATCCACCATGGACGGGGAACTAGACGACGACCTTCTTCGCCAACTTGCTTCTGGCAATTCCATAGATGAGTGAGTTTGTTCTCTTCAGACCGCGCAATCCGACCTCGACCTCAATCTCAACTCAACCTCAACCTCGTCTTCTGGCGGCTTGGGGGAGATTCGCTCATCTTCCACTCTGTCAACATTCCATCTGTCTGCTCAGGCTTCAAATCTAACACCCTCTCCCACAGTACCTGTTGGCCAGCTTTGCTCGACGGTATTCTTGCCACACTTGACAAAGTACGCATCCCTACATTCTCTCTTCCCTCCCTCCTCTAGCGCGTCGCATTCGCATTCTGACCTTCCCCCCGGCACGGCACAGATAGCCCACAATGACTTCCCAATACCCAACCTACCGCCCCCTCGTCAGCCTGTGAACCCACTGGCACCAACCGAACAACAATCCACCTCTCCCATACTCTCTTCTTCCATCGAACCAGTCGCCAGCCAACCTTCATCCTCATCACAAGACGCCGACAAGGAGAACAACCAGCCCCCTACCTCCGCCCCGAAACCCGACTCCGATGCTCCCCCGTCCGATGCCACCGCCACCGCCACCGCCACCACCACCACCCCTCCAGCTACCGCTTCGGCCCCGACATCCTCTGCCGCCCCCGGTACCCTCCCGCCCCAGATCCAGGATATGCTCACCGAGATCAACCAAGTGCTACGGGACAACTTTTCCAAGCATCCGCCTCACACCATCCAGCGTCTGGCCGAGCTGATCCTCGAACCGCGCCGCCACTACCGCCACCTCGCGCCCTACCTGCATGCCGTAGACCGCGTCGTCCACGTCACCTCCGGAAGCAACGTCTACCCCCTCCCGACCGCCCTCCCCGACATGTCCTCCATGAGCCTCCTCTCCAACGGCGTCACCAACCCCGCTGCCGCCATCTCCTGGGGAAATCCCACCACCATCAACACCACCGCCGCCGCCGCTGCCGCCGCCGTAGGCTCCGACGAGGCCCTCGGTGGCGCCCTGCTGACCCCGATCCCCTGGCTCACCCGCCGCCCCAGCCCGCACGCCGACTCGGCCTCTTCCAGTCCCGCGCCTACCCAATCGGCAGGCGACCTCCCTCAGCCTCACCACCAACCTCAACACGCAATTCGCACCGAGTCGACCGAGACCATCGAAGGTCCGAACGGCATGGGCTCCATTGAGACTGTCAGCGTTAGCATCAACGGCAACCCTTCTTCTATGGCCGCCGCTGCCGCTGCCGGTGCTAGTGCTGGTGCTGGTGTTGTTGGTGTTGGTGCTGGCGCTGGCGCTGGCGCTGGCGCTGACAACACGGGTCTGCGCCCCATCACCCAGGGCGAGTTACTGCGACAGGAGCAGCAGCGCGGTGTGGTTCCTGTCAACCAACTGGCGCGCCAAGCGGAAGAAGTCGCCTCTCACCACGCCCAAGCCGCCGCTGCCGCTATCGCCGCTGCGAGACGCGGCGCTTCTGCGGGCGATGCGCACGGTGACGCCGCCGCCGCCGCCGCCACGGATCCCGCTTCTTCGTCGTCCGTGGGAGACCAGACGCGCCGGCCTGGTGACCGAGAGGACGACGACGACGACAAGGGGAACAAGGGCGAGCATGAAGCTGACGTGCCGCACGCCCGCGGGCCGGGGGAGATCGGCGTGAATGACCTCGGCCCGCAGAGTGCAAGCACCATGCGATACGTCGAAGGTGTCGGAGGTCACGCCGTGGAGATGCAGGGCATTGACGTCGAGGCGGCTGTCGGTCGCAAGGCGGACCCGGCGCGGACACCTGCATCTGCGTCTGCCGGAACGGCGGAGCAGGCCGATGAGGCCGATGACGCGGCTGGCGTGGGACGACAGGCGCAAGAGTCGTCTACTGGTCGTGCCGAGGACGATGCCGTTTCCGATGCCGAAAGCGAGACGTCGCAGAAGCGTGAGGCGGGTGAGGAGCTGCAGGGTAGCCCTGTCACGAAGAAGGTTAAAGAAGAGGGCGAGGGCGCTGCGGATGCTCACGGGGACGGGGACGGGGACGGGGATGAAACGATGAAGGAGACGACGGAAGGGGAGACCAAGGCAGAAGCGGAAGCGGAAGCGGAAGCCGAAGACGGCGCATCAGGCGAGACGGTTGTGGGGAGATAGGCGAACCTTCTCCCGGTATGGATGCTGCCGCGACTCTTCAAGGAGGACCGTGATGATGGACGGGAATGAGATGAGCCTCGAGCATGGGGGATGGGCCTTGGAACGAAAACTATTCTCTGCGTATGAGCTTCTAACGACTGGGACCATACCCACGAAAGGGTGGAGGACGGTGTTAATAGGGTAGAATTACGGATCATGCAGGCTTCGGATAACATCGTAGGGTGTCTGCCGCACGTCTTCAGTGCGGGTTCAAACATGCCAGTGCCAGACATGAAATTAGCAGAGCCCTATAAACTCCTGTCTAACCCCCCGATTCCCATTATGCCTGTCGCAAAATTCCAGTTTATGATGAAGAAAAAAAACGAAAGAAAAAATAACGCCCCCCACAACAAACACTAGACAATCCGAGTAATGCTCTCCCGCGAAATCACGCTACACTGCTTATCATCCCTCCTCACCCGGAAAAAACTGTCGCAAAACTCGCTGCAGCGCATGTGCCGCAAGAACTCCTCGTCGTGGGTAATGACGATCAGCTGGAAGTTGCTCTGCGCGCGCCGCGCCTTGATGATGGCGTGCAGGCTCTCGGCCAGCGACTTGATGTTGTCCCGGTCGAGGTTGGTGGTGGGCTCGTCCAAGGCGATGAGGCCGCAGTGGACGCCAAACGACTCGGCCAGCGCCAGCCGGATGATGATGCTGGCCAGCACCTTCTGCCCGGCGGAGCAGCGGCCGCGCATGTCCATCTCGGTGTCCTGCTTGACCATGCACACGCGGTAGTTGTAGGAGCGGCGGCCGGTGGCGGCCTCGTTGTCGGAGCGGATGAGGATGGTGTCGATGTCGGTGCCCTGGTAGGTGCTGCGCCACAGCTCGTCGACGATGCGGTTGACCTCCTCCATCTTGAGGCCGTGGTACTGCATGATGGCCTTGTCCAGCGCCGCGCCGTACCGCCCCAGGTCCTCGATGGCTGCCTTGGTCGTCTCCACCTTGATGTGCGACGCGCGGTACTTGCGCGCCGCGTCCTTGTAGTCCATCTCCCACTCCGCCAGCAGCCGCGCCAGCTCCTCGTCCTTGGTCTTCATCTGGCCCATGACCGACCCGCGCTCCGCCACCAGCCGGCTGTGTTGGTTCTCCAGCCGCCGCGCCTCCTCGCGGAGCTGCTCGTAGTCGTCGCCCGCCTTGTGCGACGCGAGGGACTCCACCTCCCGCCGCAGGCTTTCGAGCTGCCGCCGGTTGGCCCGGTACTTGAGGTTGTTGCCGATGTTCTGCTTCGTGCGGTCCCCGTTGTCCATGTCCTGCCGCAGCTTGTTCGTGCGCAGCGTGAGGTCCGACATGTCCCTCTCCGTCGTCGCGATCGCTTGCTCCAGCCCGCCGATGGCCCGCTCGTTCGCCGCCAGGTTCAACGGCCCGCCCCGCGCCACGTAGTCCTGGATGTCGCTCTCCACCATCTTGAGCTCCGTCACCGACGACGCCACCCTGTCCCGCTCCTCGGCGATGACGTGCTCCTTGGCCCGGCCGCGCTGCAGCGCGTCGTCGCGGACCCCGCGGGCCGTGGAGATTTCCGGCTCGATGCGTTCGAGGTCTTGGTCCGCCTTGTGGATCAGCTCCCGCTGGTGCGCCTGCTCGTCCTTGAGCGTGTGGATCTGGGTTTCGAAGTCCTTCTTCCGCTCGAGCTGGTTCCGGACCGCGCCCAGCTTGTTCCGCAGCTCGCTCTTCTCCAGCTCGAGGCCGTTCAGCTGGTCCTTCAGGCGCTGGCGGTCGGCCGTGAGCTTGGCGACGCAGGTCGTGATCGACCGGATCTGGTCGTTGCACGTCGCCTGGAGCTCGTGGACCTCGTCGGCCGTCCGCCGCGTCGCCGCGCCGGACAACTGCTGCGACATGATCCGCTCGACCAGGGCCTCGGACTCCTTGAGATCCCTGTCGCCCTGGGCGATGTTCATGACCGTCTTGTTCAGCGACTCGACCTCCCTCAGCTTTTCTTCCTCGGCCGCCACCGCCTCGTCGTGTGCCTCCAGCTGTCGGTCGTGCGTTTCGAGCTCGGCCTCCAGCGCTCTGTACTCGTCTTGCAGGCCCGGCAGCTCGGCCACCACCCTCTCGTACGTCTCGTACTGCGTCTTCGCCGACCGCAGCCGGTTCAGACCAGCCTGGGCTTTTTCCAGATCGGCCTTGGCGAGCTCACGCTTGGCCGGGTCGATGCGTTTGGTCAGCCTCTCGACGAATCGCGACTTGGCGACGGCCTGGTTCTCGTCGAACCCCCTCTCGCACATTTTGCACTTGTTCTTCTTCTGCAGGTACTCGTGGCACTGTTGATAATAGTCGGACAGGGCCTCCAAGAGGCTGATGTCGGTGGAATATGTCTCCACATCCTCCTCGTGGATCCTCACTTCCTCGGAATAGTCGTCGATGGTGGCGTCGGCTCGGATCGCCCTCAGCACATCGACGACCTTCTTCTCGCAACGCCCGGATTCGTCCAGTTTCTTCTGGTGCGTTTCCTTGGCCGTCTTGAGCCGGTAGTCGACTTTCTGGCGCTTCTCTCTCGCCTGCTCTCGTCGCTGGCGAGCGTTCGTCGCCGAGTCGCCGTGCCGCCTGAGAACGTCCTGGTATGCCGACTCGAGGGTCTCCGCCGCCCACCCGCCGCCGAGCTGCGCGTCGAGCTTGGCCTTCCACGTGTTGATCAAGGCCTCGAGTTTTCGTTTCCGGTCGGTCAGCTCCTTCTTTCTAAAGTCCAGCTGGGCTCGCTCGGACGCCAGCCTCGTGCACTCCATCAGCTCGCGGGCCAACCTCTCGGCCTCGCTTTCCAGCTGCCAGAGCCTCTCGTTCTCCTTTTCGATTTGCGCGTCAAAGGCCGAGGCCTCGATGGTCTCGCCCGTCTTCCTCAAGCGGGCGTCGACGTCGTCGAACTGGCTGTCCAAGACGGCCAAGGCGCCCTCGTCGACGTCGAGGACGTCGACGTCGTTCTGCAAGACGCTGGTGCGCTTGTCGATGGCGGACATGCGCTGCTTCGCGAAGGCGCGGTTCTGGGTCAGGGTCGACTTGCGGGCTTCGAGGTCGGTGATGACGGCGGTGGCCTGGTCGAGCTCCTTGGCGTTCTCCTTCTGCACGCGGTCCAGGTCGCGCTTCTTGTCGGCCAGCAGCTTCTGTATCCTGTCGTTGAAAGCCTTGATCTGGCCGTCCTTGAGGTCGCCGTCGTAGCCCCGAAAGCCGTGCTGTTCCGCGGCTTCCCGGATCAGCTCGACGCGGGAGGCCAGCTGGCGCTCGTATTTTTCCTTGTCGGACTGGTGCTTCCCGCGGTCGGCCAGCTTGGCGGACAAGTCCTTTCTCGATGTCGCGAGGTGGTGCTGGAGCTCGGCGAACTGCACCCTGTTCTGGCGCTCCTCGGCCTCGTAGCGTGCCATGCGCTCTTCGTACTGGGCGAGGGAGTCCCGCAGACGCTGGTCGTCGTGGTCGTCGTGGTCGTCGAGCAGCTCCTCCAGGCTGGCTTGCAGCTCGGCAACGGCCGACTCGCGGAACTGCAGCTGGTCTTGCTTGGACCGCAGGTCGTTGACGATGTTGAGGAAGCTGTTGGCTTTGATATGGGTATTCCTGATCTTCTCCTCAAGCTCGTCCATCTCGTGGGTGATGGCGGTGCAATGGTCCCTGTCGGCCTCGATGCTCGACTGCAGCTCCAGGGATCGCTTCTCGGCGCGGTCGCCCTTCTCCTTGTTGATCTTGTCTTGCTGCTCGTGGATCTTGAGCTTGGCGAGCTCCTCGCCCTGCTTTTTCCGGAGGACCTTGAGGTTTTCGATGGCCTTGGTGTAGCGCATGGCCTCGAAGATCTGGTCGAACTGCTTCTTGAGGGCGGCGGGTTCGCTCATGGGCCACAGGGACTCGTCCTGGTGGCAGAAGATGACGTAGTCGAGGATGGCAGTGGAGACGCCCAGCTCTTTCGGGATCAGGTCGTCCATCTGGGCCACGCGGGTGGATATCACGGACCGCTCGCCGTTCCGGTTGATGGCCAAGGAACCCTCGAGGGTCTTGAGGGAGCGGGTGGTCTTCTTGACGGTCAACTGCAGGTTCCTGGTGACGACGTACTTGGCGCCGGTGGTGGAGGAGAAGGCGAGCTTGACCTGGGCCAAGACCTCCTTCTCGCCGACGAGCTTGGGGTCGTGGACGAAGGCGCCGCCCTTGGAGTTGGGGGGCTGCTCGCCGGTGGTGGCGTACTTGAGACACTCGATGATGGTGGTCTTTCCCGAGCCGTTGTAGCCGACGATGAGGGTCAGCGGGGTGAAGAACTGCATGGTCTCACGGCCAGATCCGGTCCCGAAGGACCGGATGCCCTGGATGGACAGCTTCTCGATCTTGGACATGGCGGGGGCTACTGTTGCCTTGTCACCTTGTGCGAGGCCGTAGTGCGTAGTCCATGCAAACGAAGTTGCTTTGGTCAGATAATAGATTCACCAAACTATCAGATGGCCAGTGTGTGGGGAGACGGATGGAATATGGATGGTTGAAGGGACAAGTGATAAGTGATCATTACGGATACGCGATGATGACTCTGCCTGGGACGCGTCGGGTTGTGTGTTGGGGTGGGGCTCGGAGCGTGACCTCGTGACTTTTGCCAAGCGAAATGACACTAGGTGTTGATGACTAACCTTCGCTTTGTGTTTTTGCCTTGTACTTTGTATCTTCCGAGGTCTCGGGCACAGTACGAATATAGTGCAGATAGATACTGTAAGTGGCCTGATCCTTGGACCCCGACCCTGATTCTGAGGATTCTCCACTCGATAGGCTTCGGGACCCACACCAGTGGACAGCAGTCCCGGATCATTTGTCCCCGATCAGGGGAGGATCTGCACTGCAGATGGGACATTTCGAGGGCAGCATGGCAATTGCCATGATTTGGTGGGCCCAAGATATGGAATTCCCATACCTAGCTGCGTCCATCGAACCCCCTCAGTTCTACGAAGCATTACGTAGTTACGGATACTTACGTGTACCTAAATAATGCCGTGTACCTGTGTACTCTATCACCGACCTAAGAAGCCTCATCATTGTCATTTCATCCATTTACTAAGGTGGCTAAGCCCGCCCACGTCTTCGTCTTGTCGGGCTTGAAAAACCTCATCGAGACTTGTCCGTCTAGCCTCTAATGGCGCCATCTTACGGGAGTAGGTACGTTGTGTTGTGCTGAGGTATCCGGACCGTTTACTCCGTACTTTCTTTCCCCTGGCTGGCCTACGAATACAAATTACCTTAGTACCTTACCACAAGGTACACCTTATAAAGTACTCGAGTACAAAGTATACCCTATGATGGTATGCTCCACGACCACGCCTTCATTGCACGTCTCGAAGAACCCCTTCAGGGGACCTCCACTTTGACTTGGTTTCTTCCCTGTTGTGCCTGTTCCCTGTTCCCTGTGCCCTGTGCCTTGTGCCTTGTGCCTTGCTTCGCAGTCCTGCCCAGTGCCAGGTTTTTTTTAGGGCCCCCAGTACGAATACATCTACTTGCCGCATACGCAAGTACGTAAGGTAGGTACCTTAGTCGTACATCATTAATAAGTGCCTTACTTCGTATGATGCACGATAGTCAAGCCTGACCAAGGAAAATGAAAACCCGTTGGGTCTACGGGAACGAAGAACGAACCATTTACATCTCCTGTCTCTCCCACTGCCGAGTATCTCCCTCCCCTTCGTCTTTTGTTCTTTTTGTTCTTCTCCAATATTGCAACGCATCGTCCCGTCGTCGGTCTTTTTATACCCTGGGTCCTCTTTTCTTCCCAAGTCTACCTTATTCTAACTTCTTGGGAACCGCGGCTGCCCACCTAAACCTTGACATTCTTCTCTCTTTTCTGTGCGACTCGTTTATTAAAATATAACCTCGACCGTATTGATCATTGTCTTCTACCTCTCCCCTCGGCGCAACCTCGACGCGGGCACTTCACAGATATCGAGTCCAACTCTCTATCCCCACTCCTGCTCGCCAAATGGCCAGCTTGGCCTCCCGTTGGCAGCCGTCTTATTAGCCGGGGAGGTGAAGTGACGTCGATGCCGTGTCGACCGTTCGAGACTCCCCGGAGAAAGGAAAAAAAAAAAAAAAAAAGGACCTACCTTCCGCCAAAGTACCGAAAGTTCGTCCACTACAGGTACGGAGGACAGTCGATCTCCCCGCGATCCCCTATCGCTTTTCTATACCTTAACCGAAAGCGCAAAGGGCTTTTGTGACCATCTCAGTTCAGGGTCCTAAGGGTCCTGCTCCTGCTGCCCCCCCACTAAATCCAAGCAACCCCAGAAGCCTAGAACCCCCCAGATTTCCAGGGACCATTTTGCGTTTTGCGTTTTGCGTTTTGCGTTTTGGTCGTTTGGGTGTTGGTTGTCGCCATGTCTGACGGGCTCCCAACCCCCGTTTCCGACGGAGCGTACCCCTACAGCTTTGAGAGCTTTGATCCGGCCACGCTTGATGCTGTGAGTCCGAGTCCCCGCCCCGTTTTTATTTTCCTTTGAATATCTATTTTGATTTTTATTTTTATTTTCATTTTCATTTTCATTTTCATTTTCCCTTTTTTTTTATTGAATATCTTTGGCTGCTTTCTTTCGTTCATCATATCGTCATCATGCCCTCAATCCATGCATCATGCAACCGCGTCTTTCATGTCGGCCATATTAGTTTGATTTTCCTTTTGTCGTTGTTTTGCCTTTCTTTCTTTCTTCTCCTCTTCCCCACTTCCCTTCTTCTTCTCTTCTTCTGCTTATTTGGCCCCCCATCCTTTTCAGCTCTTCATTTTACCCACCCGACCACAATCAATCTTCATTCCCTCTGCCACATCAACCGGGGACGCGAGGCTTGCCCCTTGCATCGAGTCTCACTGACGATTTCTTATTTCTTCACAGCTAGCAAGCGACCCCACTTTCATGTCGCTACTAGACAACTCCATGTTGGGCGACCTGGACCCGACCCCCATGAACCTTGACGACACAACCGCATCGCATAATGGAGTCATGTCTCCCTTCAATCAGTTCAATCACCATATGAACAACCAGATAGACGACCAGCTCGACAAACAATTCAACAGCCAGCTAATCGGCCAACTCAATACTCAGTTGAGCACGCCTCCTATTTCCACCGGTCCGATCATGTACGATGATGCCGTAGCGGCGGGTGTCCCCCAACAATCCGTGAGCCAACTCACGCCGGCCGCAACCGTATTCAGCGGTACAGGCGATGACAGTACGGTCGGCGGTCCCGGCGCGGGCCCTTCGCCCCAAAGCGGCAGAAACTTCACTCCACAGCCGGCGACGACCACCTCGACAACGACAACAACAACAACAACAATAGCAGCAACAACAGCAGCAACAACAACTGCAACAGCACCAGCAACAAACAACTCCTCGAACCCGTCCGGCGGGAGTACCTTGACCGAGTTCACCAAGAGGCGAAACTGGCCGGCCAAGGTGGTCGAGGAGCTCCGGGACTTCCTACAAATCCTCGACGCCAACGGCCGCATCCGGTTCGTGTCGCCGAGCATCCTAGGGCTAACGGGCTACACGGGGGACGAGATCACGGACAAGTTCATCAAGGACTACGTGCACCCGGACGACGTGGGCGTGTTCGTGGCGGAGCTCAACGAGTCGATCGCGACCGCGAACCCGCTGCGCATCTTCTACCGCTTCCGCAGGAAGGACGGCAGCTACGCCGTCTTCGAGGCCGTCGGCCACGCCCACATCGCGTCGGCCAAGTTCGCGCCCAACCCGCACAACAAGTCCGCCTTCTGCCAGGCCGTCTTCATGATGGCCCGCCCGTACCCGACCAAGAACGCCGCCCTGCTCGACTCGTTCCTCGAGCACAAGATCGAGAACGAGCGGCTACGGCGCCGCATCGCACAGCTGCGCAGGGAGGAGGAGGTGGAGAATGAGGAGTCGCAGAGGCAGTGGATGCTGAGTTGGTCGGGGCGGTCGGATACCTCGACGAGCGTGCCGGGGACGACGAATCCCCGCTCCCCTGCGGCGGCGGCCGCCGCAGCAGTAGCAGGAGCAGGAGCAGCAGCAGCAGCAGCAGGGACAGTGGCGGTACCTCCCCCTCCGGGCTCGGACGGCGCGATGCAGGGGCAGATGCAGGTGCAGGTGCCTATGCAGATGCAGCAGCCGCAGCCGCCGCTGCCGCTGTCCGACGCGGCGGGGTTCAACCCGACGCTGACGCGCGACGCGCTGGAACGCGTGGCCAATAGCCGGCCCGACTCGTTGACGGAGAAGATGGCCCGCTACGAGGGGTCGCACGCCGACACCATCGAGATGCTTACGGGGTTGCGGTACGTCGAGGGCGAGCGGAGCCGGGGGATCACGACGGGGGTGGCCAGCCCGGCGCTGATCAAGGGCGATGCGGGGATCGCGATCCCGGCGGGAAGAGACTTCAGGGCGGGAGATAAGAAGAAGAAGCAGAAGACGGTGGAGGAATACGTTTGCACGGATTGCGGTGGGTTTCTTCCCTTTTTTCCCTTTCTTCCCTTTCTTCTCTCTTTTTCTTTCCTTTTTTTTTTTTTTTTTTTTTTTTTTTTTTTGCCTTCCTCGTCGCCACATTCCAGTCAACCCGTCCTGGACTGACGAGGACGTTTCGACATAGGTACCCTCGATTCCCCCGAATGGCGCAAGGGTCCCAACGGTCCTAAAACGTTATGCAACGCCTGCGGTCTGCGGTGGGCCAAGAAGGAGAAGAAAAACAAGCACAATGGCAATGGCCATGCCACTGGCGAAGCGATGCAACCCGAACCGTCAGGAGTCGGGAATAGCTGAAAGGGAAGAGACGAAAAAAATCGAAACAAACAAAAGCAAAATGGAAAGACAAGGCTGGAGGGGTTGGTTATCTGGTTATCTTGGCATATATACGCAACAAAGGCCCCAGCCGATATACACGAACGGCTGACCTGCCTGCCCGGACTCAATTTTCGAGGGCCATCGCATCACGTCAAGCTCTGCGTCGGAGCCAAAGCGGGACAGCAGCCTGTTACCTTCACGGAGCAACACGCTGATTGTCTGTCGGTCGGCCCAGCAATCCAGGATATCGAAGGTGCTGCGGTTATCCCTCGATTTCTGTTCATGCCGCGGCAGCGAGACATGGGGGATCCGACGCATGCATATATACCTGCACCTAAATCTACGCGGCACAAGGGGGGAGAGATGACAAGGCAACACAGCATGTAGTAGCGAGAGAGCGAGCATGACGATAACAAATTTCGAGCCGAGAGGCAAAACGGAACGAAGACGCAAACCAAACCCGCTTCAATTACTTGGCCTCCCACCCACGCGCTGTCACGTGCTGTCGATGAAGTACGAATACATAAGATACCTAAGGTACGCCACAGGTACCTTAGTCTGTCGTGCCAGGGGGGAGGACGAGGGGTAATGACAGCAAAGCAGATGCGGGGGCAATAAAGGTGATGGGGCTTTGGTGGTAATTACTGAGTACGGTAACACGTACCGTAACACAGACCCCCATGTCCAGCTGAACCACTGCATCGATCGTTGACCCGTGGTTCTGTACGTTGTACAGCACACAATATAAAGAGGCAAGTCCCTTTGTACTTCGTACACGGTACCTGAGGTGTTCGTCCTGCCCGGGGATATGGTGAGGTACCTAGTGGACATGTGGTGGCTGCGCTACCACCGGTCCTGACCAATGACCAATGGCCCTCCACGACGGAGCTTGTACGTTGTACGTTGTAGTGCTCTCTAGCACGACCTTGAGGCGCTGAACGCTTGCTTTTGCGATGCCGGTCCAGCTAGAACGGCCTTGCTAAATGAGGGGAGCTGCGCATGGTTCGATGATAGCTAAACAAATACGGAGAACTGTAAAGTAACCAGCTAAAAAGGGGGACGACCCCTCATTCTCTCCTCGGTCCGTCGTTCATCATCGTCCGTCGTCGTCTTGTCCTGCTCTTCCGCCCTCGCAACCAGCTTTACACAACGAATAGATCCCTCCCAACTCGAACGAAACCTTGACTACGAACCCACCGTTCAATTCAGCATCTCAACCACAGTCACGATGGACAAGCTCTTCAGCACAGCAAAGGACTTTCTCCAGGAACAGACCGACAAGGACGACAACAAGCAGCAGCAGCAGCAGCAGCAGCGTACGTTTTTGCTTCCAGACCCACCCCTGTTCCCTCTCCCCTCTCCCCCCCTGCCTCGTCCTTCTTCCTCCCTTGGCATCGTCATCCCCCGGCTTGGCTTGGGCCAACATGAGATGACGGCCAGTAAAGGCAGCCAGGGTGCAGAGCAACAACCATCACGACGGGACCGACTAATGGGAACATGGGACTTTCCAACACCAATGACTTTGAGAATTACATTATCGACGAGACCTTTTTTCTTCTTCTTTTTTTTTTTTTTTTCTTCCCTCAGAAGGCTGACATGACGATCCTCCTCGTGCCATATAGCCCCCCAACCTCAGGCGCTCCCTGGCGGGAACAGTAAGTTGACACCAACCTCCTCCATCCACTCGCCCCAATCCTGACCCCTCCTACAGAGGGCACCGGAGGCTCGTACCCGATCCCCGGGGGTGACGACGACGATTTCCGCTCCGCCGCCACCGAAGCTGCGCGTCAAGCCGGGTCGCATGGCGACAGGGACCTCTTTTCCAACGTCCTCGGCACGCTAGGCCAGAAGAAGGCCCAGGTCGAGAAGGAAGACGTTGACGAGAATGGTGCGTTTTGTCCTATATATATATATATATATATATATCTCTCTTAAAACAAGGAAAGAAAAGAAAGCAAAGTAACAACCCATCACTGACGTATCAACCCCCGCCCACAGACATCCTCACCATGTACAAGAAATTCGCCGGCGGCGAGGCCGGCGCCAAGGAACAAGCCGACGAAAAGTCCCTCGGCGCCGCCGCCGCCATGCAGGCCCTCAAGCGCTTCAACAGCGGCGAGGTCAAGGGCCAGAAGGACACCCAGGGCGGCTTCCTCGCCCTTGCCATGGCCGAGGGCAGCAAGCTCTTCGACGACAGCGCCAAGGACGGCCGCGTCAAGCAGGGCACCACCAAGGAGGGCGTCATCCAGCAGGCCGGCGAGATGGCCCTCAAGCTCTTCTTCAAGAGCCAGGTCAAGCAGGGCGGTGCCGGCGGGCTGGTCGACATGGCCTCCAAGTTTTTGAAGTGATTTTGCTTGAGGGAGTGAGGGAGTGAGGGAGTGAGGGAGTGAGGGAGTGAGTGAGTGAGTGAGAGAGTTGAATATATAAAGTTTCTTTTTAAACGTTTTAAATATCAAATGTCCGACCCATGGCATATATATACAATTATCCGCCGCATTCATTCCATAATGTAATGCCAAAAAAAAAAAAAAAAGAAACGAAGGGGTATCCGAAAAAATCGCTCCGTCGCCATATCCCATCCCATATCTCATATCCGTGTTTCGTTTGGCCCGGCTTGTCCTCCGAGAACGAAAAGTAATTCTGCGTGCAAGTCTTCGAAAAGCCGCAGAGAAAAGCTTCCTCCCATCTGTATGAAAAGTAGAGTTGAAATATCCCCCCTTTTTGTTCTTTGCCGTCCCCTCATGGTGACATTGTCGCGTCGGTGCTGACGCTCATCATGCTCAAGCTGCTCCTCAACTTCATGCTCTTGACGCTCGTGTTGTAAAGGATGCTGGCATTGTCGCTCTCCACCTTGGACTTCTTGGCCGCCGCCTCGGCCACGTCGACCCAGCCCTCCGGGATGACCCGGCCCCCCGGCACCTTCGTGTTGAGGTAAACCTCCGCCTCGCGTGCAAACTCGAGTAGCTGCTCCTCGCCGCCCCACTCGGCCATGGCGTGCATGCCGATGGGGAGCCGGCGGGTGCCGTTCTTGCTGCCCCCGAAAGCGTTGGCGTAGCCCACCGGTACCGAAACGGCCGGGCACCCGGTCAGGTTGGCGAGGAAGATGTAGATCATGTTGCGGATGGAGGCGTTCACGTCGGTGAAGCCCGCTTCGGCGTCGCCTTCGTCGCGACGCCAGCCGCGGGTAGGCGTGGTCGGGGTCAGGAAGAGGATCCCGGGATACTGCTCGAAGAGGTGGGCGAGGTGGGACATGATGAGCTGGCGGAGGCGGCCGGCGGCGCGGAAGTCGGCCGTCGGGGTCTGCGATGCCACGGCGAGGAAAAGGCGGCTCTGGGCCGAGATGTGGTCGAAGAAGCGTCCCGGTGGGGGGAAGGCCTCGCGCACGTCGTGGTAGGTTTGGGTGATGGTCAGAACGGAGTGGGCGAGCTGACACTCGCGCAGGTACGGGAGGTTGATGTCGAGAACCGAGTAGCCCACGGAGCAGAAGTACGCGAGCGCCTTGTCGCAGTGGGCCACCACTTCCTTGTCGGCCTGCGACCACCACGAGCTGTCGACGGCAAGGACACGACGACGGTTTGCCGTATTTGGATCTAGTGACATCGGAATCGAAGGGGTGAAGAGAGACTGAACGGGGTCGTCGGGGTTCGGCTGGGACATGATGCGGTACGCAATAGTCAGGTCAGCGACGGAAGCAGCCATGGGACCTGTCACACAGCTCGAGTGCTTCATGACCACAGTACGGTGATGGGTGGGTTTCAGGGCGTAGAGGCCGGTGAAGGCAGCGGGGATACGGATGCCGCCTCCTGTGCACATGCATCCGTGTTAGTGGCGCCGAAGCTGCGAACCGTGTTTTGGAGTGCTGGGCTTTCAAACAAGGGACGTACCAGCATCGGTTCCGATGGCAATCGGGACCATTCCACAGCAGACTGCTGATGCACCGCCGGATGAAGAACCACCGGGGTAGTACTTGGGGTTGTGCCAGTTGGTGGGCGTGCCCCAGTTCGGCTGTGTCGAGTGTCTAGTCAGCGTCCGGCCGTTCCATTTCATGTCGTGCAGTGCAGGAGAGAGATGGGATTTGTGTGCGGAAAACGTACATTGCAGCCACAAGTGTCTATAGAAAGGAGGCACAACGTTAGCTTATGATATGGTTTACTTTTGAGAGCGGGGAGTGGGGGAGTCTGGAGGCCAAGGGGTCAAGGGGCCAAGAGACCGAGAGGTCACAGGTAAGGAGGTGAGGAGACTAGAAAACTCACCAGCTCGAAGTTCGTGCATATTATTCTTGCCAACGACAACGGCACCAGCCGCCTCGAGCTTCCTGATAGGCCAGCTTGTCTCCTCGGCGGGCTGGAAGAATTTGAGGCGCGGGTTGTACTTCATGCCGGAGTGCGAGACCCATCCCCTGACATCGATCTCGTCCTTGACGGAGATGGGGACGCCGTCGAGGATGCCGAGAGGTTTGCCGGCAAGCCAGCGCGCGGTGGAGGCCTGAGCGGCGGCGAGTGCGAGAGCCTCCCCGTTGCCATGGCTGGGAACCCAAGCGGTCTCGTACTTGCCCTTGGGGCGCTGGCCGCGGCGGGTCAGGGGCATGAGGGCGGAGACGACCTGGTACGGGGTGACGGTCCCTGAAGCGTAGAGGGCGTGGTAGTCGGCGCAGGTCATGTAGCCGCGCGGAGCGTCGGGGGGCGTCGGGGCGGTGAGCTCGGGCCCAAAGTGGAGCAGGTCAGGCACCGGGGTGCCGTCGCGGAGAGGGATTACATCAGGCTGGGGAGGGTGAAACGGTGTCAGCAGTCAGGACGTCCTCTTCGGAGCTACCTTGCTCTGAAGAGTGCCAGGGCTTCGGTGGCATAGAATTGGTTCATCTGGTCTCACCTGTAGCCTGTACTTGTAGTCCCTGAGTTCGGGGATCTCTCTGATGAGGCCAAACTTGGCGTTGTGCCAAAAGTAGCGGCGGACAAATCCCAAGTTGGCAGCGCTGAAGGCAGTGGAGGTCAGTCCAGAATAATATAAGCATCGAAAGCAATGTTATGTTGGTTTTGGATGACCAAATGTTGAGAACACAAAACGTACAGTTTGCCGGCAACGGTAAGAGCGTGACCGCGGAGAGTGGGATTTTGGTCGTCTTTGGGGGCTTCCTCTGCCTTGGGCTGACGAGGGGCCCGTTGGGCGCCCGGGTAGTTCGCATACCGCCGGTTGGGGGCCATGAGGGCCTGCCTCGTAGGAGGAGATTGGTGATACTCGTTGGGGGCGTTGATCAATTTGACCCCGGGACCGTAGTGGTGGACGGTTTGTGATCGGTCGATTCGGTTCGCTTGCGATAGAACGGACGTTGTGCGAGCCAGGTTTTTTCCGGGGTTATTTGATCGAGGAGGAAAAGCACCGGTATTTGTATGTATTAGTTTCGTACGTTGGTGTGAAAACCTTGGATTTCTTCCTGATTTTCGTCGCTTGACCGTTGGACATTGATGTTGACCAGTAACGAAGGACGAGGTTAGGAAGAAGGCTTGGGAGATCTGTAAGAAAATTCTCCGAACCATGCGACGGCTTCCATGTGGGCGCGGTGAAAGCGGTCCATGTTATCCTTATAGGAAAATGGGGGGCTAGCGAGAGCAAGGGGCGGCAGTGATCTGACCAGGACCGATAGCCAGGACCGATAGATAGGTATTATTGGGAAGCCGTTATGGTATCTTTCTCCTAGCACCTACCTACAGGCTACGCCGGGTCCGAGAACAGACACACGGACCGCCCGCCGTAGAATCGGAGACGACGGTTGGACCGGATAGAACGTGGTGGGCTGAGAGCGGTGGGAGACAGCAACAGGGACAGCGGTGGGTGAAGAGCAGACGCAAGTCCCGAGCGCGGCACCGTGGGATCCCTCTCCCTGCAGCCCCATAGCACGGCCTTCACAGGTTTCCTGCATGTTCTTGTTCTTTCGTCTCACGCGAACGGCGTGGGAATCCTGCCACGCACCCACGCCGCACCCGCACCTCAACTCAACTCAGCCTTTTGTCCTATCGTGGCCCCGCCGGAAAACATGTCACGAGGGGGTCAGATACGACGTCGCCGAGATGAGATGGAGGTCCCAGCAGGCCTAGCTCAAAGAGGTTGACGCAGGAGCCATGTTGGGTAGGCTAGGTACCCATGTTTGGTGATGGCAGGGAGGAGGGATGGACGGACAAGGGTAAACGCTGCCGTTTTGATGCTTCGATGTTTCGATATCTGGATCGATGATCTCCGGTTGAATGGTTGAATGTCTACAACGTAAAGTCAGAGACGGAGATGCTGGAGGGCAAAGAGAAACGCAGGCACACTGGCAGTTGTACTTTGTACAATAGGAGCACGCAGTTTCATGTTTTACAGTTCTCTCACCGTCGGGACATCCGTACCTTACCTACCTTTAAGCAAGGTACACAACTTGCAAACGCAGGAAGGAACGACCAAAAGCACCCACCTAAAAAGAGGGGTGGGGGGTGTGTGATTGGGGGTGGACCCAAAGCTCCAAGAACCATCGAAGCCGGCACTTGCGATTCGTCCACCGCCGTCTAGCAACGGACTATTTCCCACTACACGTGTACACGTACCTTAATTCACTCGAAGCTCGCGGGAGGTTGACGATGTACGTTGTATGAAGTACGGGTACAAAATACGGATGCTTCGTACTTTAAAAGTCGTGGTCGTCCTTGCCTTCATTTCCTATTGCATATTGGGTCGCTTGCTGGAATGAGGGAGAAGGCACAACAGGCTGTCCGTCAGTCCCCTTCTTGCTCTGAGCACTCTCCTACGAAGCACGTCACCTACATCATACACGTGGCGGTACATCTGTTACATTGACACCGGGGCAAAATTCCTAGCACGTAATGTCGAGGTTGGGTTGGTTTTATGAACGATGTCTCATCCCTCCCATGCAGCAACTACCGAATACCACACCTACCTTAGGCACGCAGCCAACACGATGACAAGATGAGCGGCACAGGCTAAGGTACCTACGGAGTACAGGCAGCGGGTGAGGTGAGTTTAATCCCGTACCTTAGGTAGACCAAGGACACCCACCACTGTCGCACATCAGCTCTCTCCAAATCTCCAAAGGTCCTAAACATAAATAGCAACAACATCAATCCTCCTCGATCCTCAGCGATCCTGGGGGGGTCCTTCTAGCGCGCTTCTCCGGACAAGGCCGCTGTGGCCGTTGGCACTAAGAGCGGCAGATGGCGTGAACCATAGGCCCAATCTGTCCGAGTGGCTTGCTGTCAGGTCCAGCAATTGCCCTTCTAGGCAAGACCTTTCTTACGGGATCGTGCAGGATCATCTCCCTCGTCAGCGTTGTCTCTCCTTTTCCTGGCGGAATGCATGGCATGGTCTATTAGGGGATTGAAACGGCCCAAAAGACGGTCGAAAGAGGGTGTAGGCTTGAGGTTCGTCCGGAGAAGCCAAGCTTCGTCCAAGAATGGTGTGAACCGTCCTCCATCTTATGATGCATGGCTACGGGCGAAAGGCATTGCAGGGGAAGTGAACCGGGGAGTGGACAGAACCTTGCTTTTTCATTTTTCAATTTTCATTTCTTCTCATTTTCTCCTTTGTTCTCCCTCATACTGATAAACCCCCACGCCCACGGTATATCATGGGATCCCTATATTATACCTATCATAAAACACTCAAGATTACCTACCAAAGTTATCGGTAATTACCTGCAGATGACCAGTCACTCTATAAACACGTAGGCCCGTATTTCGTCCTTTATAGATACGCTGCCAAAATCGGTGCCCCTCTGACGATGAAACCTGCTCCTCACCCCGCCCTCGAATATATCACGAGATTTTTTTTTCTCTGCTCTTCTGCACTGCTCAATCCCTGATAATACATACCTTACATACGGTACGCATATCCGGAGCGAGTCCGGAGCAGCCGTAATACAACCCGTCTTCCATCCCACACCGCAACATCCCATCGCTTGGCACTGCACAATGATAACGCATACCACCTACATACAAAGACGCAGGCCCAAAACGGAAAACAATTCCATTCCTCTTTCCGAACAACATTATTGGCTACTTGAAGTTGAGCCTACTGGTTATTACTCGTCCCCTAGCATTGGCAGACCGACCAATCCACCTAGATTCTAGAAACTATCCTGATACTTCCACTTCTTCGGGTCAAAGATGACCTCAAAGCTGTTCTGGTCGAACATCCCGATGGCACAGCTCAGGTCATGCAACCCTTCCAACCCCGTCACCGGCAGATCCTGCTCCGCGTCGCTCTCCTCGTGCAGGTTCCACCCTCCCACCAACTTCCCGTCCCTCGTGAACCAAATGTCCACGTTGATGGTCCCATCCCCCCGCGGCGCCAGCGACATCCCAATCCCGACCGTCTGGCCCACCACAAACGGCTCCGTGAAGTCCTTCCCGCCCCACCGGTCGTTGATGTACTTGCGCCCGTCATCCCCGTGCACCGCCAGCGACCCGCGATGCCACCCGGGCATGCGGAAGTTGGGGTACGGCAGCGCCGTGAACCCCAACCCCAGATCCACCTCGTCCCGCCGGCTGTCCTTCCGGATGTGCACCTCGTAGTACATCTTGAACGCCCGCCCCGTCACCAGAGGCGACTGCGTCGCCGCCGAGTACATGGGCGGGTACCCGATGACGCAGCTGTCCCTGGCCATGACGTCCGTGCGCCCTTCCCAGACCCCCGGCGCCGACGCGGCGAGCGTGCCCCGGAACCCTTGCGGCAACAGCAGGCTGATCTCGTGCGCCGCCTGGGCCTGGAGCGCTTGCACCGGTAGCGGCTGGGGTGGGAGGAGGGGGTATTGCTCGCACCACGCCTCGCCCGCTTCGGCGTCTTCTTCCGACGCGTTGTTCGCCGGGGATCGGTCGTAGCCGCTGAAGAAGGCCGGCGGCGGAGGGAACAGTGCGGTGTCCGGCACGGCCACCTGCCATTTGTGTTGTTGTTCCTTACCCGGCGCGGCGCTGGTGGGTGGAGGTCCGGGGGGAGGACCGTAGTCGCCAGACATACCAGGTGGGGGTCCTGGAGGAGGAGGAGCGTAGTCCCCGAAATGGCCAGGTGGAGGTCCCGGTGGGGGAGCGAAGTCATCGTCAGGCCGTGCCTGCGGGGGAGGGCCCGGGGGAGGTGCGTACTGACCACTAGGGGGTCCATCTGGAGCCGCGTAGTGTTGACCGGGAGGGGGCCCTGCTGGTGGTTCAAAGTCGCCGCCACGGGCTTGGCCTGGCGGAGGTCTATTCGGAGCCGCATACCGATGTGCAGGAGGTGGTCCTGGAGGCGGGGCAAACTCATCGCTCGCGCCAATCCCAGGAGGGGGCCCCGGAGGCGGCGCATAGACAGCATGATCCGAAAACTGAGCCCGGGTTGTCGGGTAGCCAGGCGGCGGGCCTGGAGGAGGTGCAAAGTCCCCTTGCGCAGGGCCGGGGCCGACGGTAAAGTTGCTGTTGCTGTTGAAGTGGCCACTCGCTCCCGATGATTCGCCTTCTTGCTGCTGGTATCGTTGCTCGCCTTGCTCTCCCGTCGGCTTCTTCTCGCTCATCCGGCTGCGTACGCTGCCGGACCTGGAGTTGTCACGACCACCCAGCTGGGCCGGGCGGGGAGCTGGGTCGTTACCCCTTCCGCCGTCCTTGTCGCCGAAGCACATGTTGGAAGGTGTAGATGCGGGGACACAAGAGTTGAAAATTTGTGGGTTGTGCGAAGGAAGAGGTAGAACAAAAAGATGACGAGGCCTGAGAGCTGCTGATAGCTGAATGGGCAGCCTAAGACGAAGGGCTTAGGGAATCTCCCTTGCTTGGTCTTCCCTCGTCTTTCTGTCTAAATTTTGGTACGAGACACAGATCTGGCCTTGAAAGAATCCCGTTCTCGCTTCCGGATATATCTCTGCGCGATTGCTGTCTGTGAGCCTGGGAACAAAAGGACACCTCTGAGTTTCGAGTAAACACTGGAATGAAATGGTTGGTTTTGGTTGGGGCGGGTTATCTGGGGCAAGTTAAAAAGTGGCTGTGCTGTCTTTATTGGCCCGAGTCCATAAGCTAGACCAGCCATGGCGCTAGCGTGTCCTCGAAATGTATGAACACCAAGAGCCCCTTTTCGTATGTACTTCTTGAGTACCGCCATGTTCTGTGAGATTTCGTGGGATAACTTGTAAATGAAACCCTCCAGCAGTGAGCTCCTGCACCCAACATCCTCCACCATCCGTGGGCGAAGCTTATACGATGTCCTGTTTGAAGTCGACGGGGGGTTGGTAGAATGAACGTCAAGCATGTCACCCGCTCGCCCATAGTCCGGACCATGGAACGGACCATGGAACATGGAAGCTCGCAACTAACCATGGCTTAGGCATGTACGTCATCAGGGCAAACACTCCGAGACACAACAAACAACGCGCCGTCTGCTCCGCGAGAAGCCCTACGGAGTACTTCGCCTTGAGGCGAATGGCGACCAGTCGATGGCAGGAAAGCATCCCGGTATGGTCCTTGTCTCGGGAAGAATATGCATAAAACCATATTGTCCATCTACACGTACACGTGTAGTGTAAGGTAGTGTATTGCACAGGGAGAGGTACAGGCATGTCCGGTGAGGCTCAGAAGGAAAACGTGATGCCGGTTGTTGAAAAGGGAAAGAAAGGAGTTTGGAAAGAGGTCGGACAACTATAGCCGAGACAAAGGTCCTTGTGATTACTAACTTTCTTCGGCAGTTTTATTCGTCCGTCATGGGTCCACATCTTATCTTATCTCACCCTCTTTCTCTTATAACGTACCTGTACCTCGTACGGACCTCACAATGAATTGAATGACGTTTCCAATGTTGTCACGATGACAGCTAGGCGACTACACCGAGCCGGCCAACCGCCTAGCACTAATTGTTTTGCCAGTGCGCGTTTGTTAGAGATGAGGATCAAAGTTCCTTCTCCAGGTCTCACTTGGCAGATCATCGTAGGCAGGCGTGGGCCTTCCCTGCAGGCAGACGCCAAAGTGAACGTCCAGAAACATCAATTCCCCAGGTTGGGATGAATCATCAATATTAGCATGGCTCGAACCCATGACGCGACCATGTGCTCAGAAACACGGGATTGGACCGAGTTAAATCATCCTGGTGCAAAAAGGGAAGTCGCTTCTTGCCTGTGCCTTCCCAGCCATGTCGCAGCGCGGGAAGGAGGTTGAAACGAGGAAGGAAGCAAGCCTCCTAGGAGACCATACCCCCTTCCCACCAAGTATTCCTACCATAATTATAAGTCTTGCATCTACGAGATTTCCCTCCCCCCAAACCCCCAACCATTCACTTAACAACCTCTCGCGCTTCCGACTCTACCAACCAGATCACTGTTTCCCTGTAGATCTTTCTGAAGCACTAAACCTCCCAGGAGTATCAGCAACCTCACCTCTCCTCACTGACAGACGCCGTCATGTCCCGCAACGTCTGTATCACGGCGGCCGAAGGCCAGACCGGCTTCGCCATCGCCGAGCTCCTCCTGTCGGATCCTTTCTCCAGCAAGGTCGACTCGGTCACGGCCCTGACCATGGACCCTTCCCACCCGAAGGCCAAGGAGCTCGTCGCCATGAACGCCAAGGTCGTGCACCACGTCCCCGGCCGGGAGCGGGAAGTCGTCAAGACCCTCAAGGAGACTGGCTGTGACACCATCTGCCTCATCCCCCCCGCGCACGCGGAGAAGTTTGACATCGCCGCCGAGCTCGTCAGGGCCGCTCAGAAGGCCGGCGTGAACAACGTTTGCCTCATCAGCTCGGTTGGCTGCGACTACGCCGACCCGAAGAAGCAGCCTCGACTCCGCGAGTTCATCGACCTCGAGGCTATGACGCTGGCGACCAAGGGCGACCCGAACACGCCGCTTGGTCATTCTCCCGTCGTTATTCGGTGAGTGTTTCGTGGCCCGTTTTTTGAACCAGCTATGCTTGCTATGCTTCAACTTCGGCGTATATTCCGTGTGACGGGTCCCTTTTGAATATCTGACACTTTCATGCTTTCTAGGGCTGGATTCTACGCCGAAAATCTCTTGCTTTATGCCCCGCAAGCGCAGACGGAGGGCGTCATCCCGTTGCCCATTGGAAAGGACCACAAGTTTGCTCCGGTGGCCTTGGGTGTAAGTTGACCTTCCAATGTCTTCTCATGCCAAGAAGTTGAGAAAGGCGGCAGTGACTCACGATCTTCCACAGGACATTGCCCAAGTGGCAGCCCACGTTCTCACTGGCAAGGGCAAGCACGGATTTGACGATAAGCACCGCGGCCAGATGATGGTTGTCACCGGTACGAACATCACTACTCACTATTCCTCTCACCCCGTTTCCCCTACGACCGAGCTGGTTGACTAACCATCTACGCCTAAGGCCCTATGCTCTGCACCGGCGATGAGCTTGCTACGGCAGCATCCAAAGTACTCGGCAAGCAGATGCAGTACGAGGATATCTCCGAGTAAGTCTCAAGTCACCCCGCAACTCTCTAAACATGCCCGGCCGGATACTTTTTTTCATTTATTTTCCTTTTCTTCTCATCACAGGGAAGCATGCTGACAATCCATCTTCCCCCGGGTGATTATTAGGTCTGAGGCCAGGAAGATCCTTCGCGCGCAGTCGGAGAGCGATCAGTCGGAACAGCAATACCTTCTCGAGTACTACAGCCTTGTTCGGGAGGGCAAGACCAACTACATCTCCACCTCGGCGTTCCACTACGTCACGGGCGAGAAGCCCACCGAGGTGGACGAGTTCTTCAAGATGTACATAGGCGAGTTCCAGACCGCTAAGCGGGTGAAACGCCACCATTGAGTGGGAGCTGTGTACGGATAAAAGACGAGGAGCGAAGTCGGACCGACACCGAGTGGCTAGTGACAATAAGGCAGAAGGGCCGTTGCTGTGTGGCGTCCGTGTAATAGCTTTCTATAATCCAGTCGAAAAATAATGTAAATCTTTATTGCACTTGGGCGTTCTGTTTACGGAGTGCGTCTGTCTCTGTTCCCATTTCAGACGTTTCGTGGGTTGTAAAAGGTAGACTACGTAGGTAAGGTACGGAGGACTATGTCTTCATGCACCTCGTTCGTGAATCTGTCGAAAATCAACAGATCCCTAGGTACTTTCGCCGCGAGTACATCTTGTTACGGAAATTATGCATTGATGCCAGTAAGAGACGCGCGAGATGGACAAGAGAAAGGAATGGAACGGCGTAAATCGTTATGTTTTCATGCCTTACTGTACAGTTCACCTCTCTATTACATACTATAACATATAGCGTCCTAAACTTCCGGGCGGCGACGAATCATTCCCTGCAATCAGCCATCTCATTCCTCCCTCACATGGACAACACCGCTCACTTGGTAGAAGGGTTCGGCGAGATGGTCTTGTCGGGGAACTTCCTGAAGAGGTCGGCAAGATGGTCGATGGGCGCGGTCATCAAGCCCATGACGGTCTCGAAGGGAGGGTTCTCGCCAGCGGAGGGATGACTGCGGCTGGGGACGAAGGCCTTGGTGTGGCCGAAGCTCTTGGCCATGGACTCGGACTGGCCGCTGGCGGAGCTCAGGGCCTGCTCGAGGGAAGGCAGGTCCTTCTCCTCCTCCTCCTTGATGTGCTCGGAGAGGACGGACCAGAGCTCCTTCAGCTTGGGGACGTAGGCGGGGTCCTCGGCCTTCATGTTCTGGAATTCCTTGAGAAGCTCCTTGACCTGCATTTCACGTCTCGTCGTTAGAAAGCTGGGGTTTCTTCATA